AAGAAAGTCCTTCCATCCACGCCGAGGTCAGTCCTGAGGGGTGTGCACCAGATTCAGCCAGCTTTCTGACCGGAAGAACTCTTGAACATCAGGGTCCGACGTGTACACCCATCATGAAATGGACTGCTGCCCTTAAGGGTGAGTATTATTATAATCAGATTCTACTCAAAATATTTTTCATTTAATGGAATTTTTATGAACGTAACAAAAACTTAATTATTTACATTATTTACTAATTTTTTTTATTAATTCTGTTATATATAGAAGCTGGAATACATCATTTCTTCCCCACGCCGAGGTTTCTACTAAAGGGGGCATAGGGCATCAACATACACACAAATCCGAATTATTGGACACACAATTGGTAAGCACAAACAATTGAATAATTTATAAATAACAACTATTCATGTAATAGTACCGGACCGTAATTAATTACTTTTTTTGAAATTTTTAGAATGATTCTGCACTGTAATAACCTGCAAGCACTAAACAACGCTACATCTTAATTCAAATATCAACATTTTCATTTTAAGAAGCGGTGTACACTGGGATCAATTGGTAAGCAATAGAAATTTAGAAATATATTAAGATAGTTAAAAAAAATACTTATCTAGAAATAAAAAACAGTTAATTTTTTTGTTTTAATTTGCTTTTAGAAAATTTATGATTGATAATAATCATAGTTTACAGAATGCATCATCATTATCAAATCATCATCAAATATGTACCAGTAAAAGTAATCAAATGGTGGTCAATCAACTTAACCTGTAAGTATAAACAGTCAAATAAATTAATAACTTATCGAATAAAAACGATTAAAATTGATAAATTAATTATTTTCTTTGTCTGTTTAAGATATTTATCAACAAAATAACCACCAATCATGGAACAATAAATCATTCCAATCTAATATTTAAAGGAAGATACAACAGCAAAGGTAAATATTTAAGTTTAAAATAAAAATCATCTTTAATTGAATTTTATATTATATAAATAACTAATATTTTTATTTGTTTCAGGGCAAATCCAATCCAAACGGACCTGATCAATCCAAATCTATGATGAGAGGACAGGGTACTCCCACATGATGGTCTTGAGTCCAGAGAGGGGTCAGTCCGTCGACGCTGGACTTCTAAATTCAACGCATCCTCCTGCGAGATGTGAGCTGTTATCTCCAGGAGCGGATTAAGGTAGGTAGTGGTTATGCTCATGATCAGAAGGCTGGCGCACACATGTCACTCTTGTATCCGGGGGTGGCATGTCAAACCAGTACTTGGTCATTCGGCTAATCCACCCAGCATTGCTAGAAACGCCGGATGTACATAAGTAGTGAGTAATTTTATGAATTATCGCATGTATCCGGGTCGCGTTTCAACAAAATATCAGTTCAAATCTATAAATAGTAATTTTTTCAAGATTAACGCGAAAACTTCATCTTTATTCATTATGAAATATCAACGTAAATTACTATTAACGTCTTATTCCGAAGACTTTTTAAAAATAGTATACGAAATACGAATACGAAATAAAAAAAATCCGCGTTTTACTTTTATTTAATTTGAATTTGAACTGATTGTAGTATTACCGTTTTTCCGCAAATATTGCACCGCGTTTTTAAGTTTCAATTAAGTGTTATCGCGAACACTTTTAAATATTACATTCGTGTAAAATCAAACGGTCTACACACACACACACACACACACACTATAAACACTCACATTACACTTTTGCTCGGTTCGTTTCGGCGAATGCGGAGTTTTTGGGTTTTTGGTGTGTCTAGGCACACCCATTACCTTACATTCTCAACACAACACTTACACGTTCTGCTTACGCAGAACAACACAAATTAACACAAATTAATTCAATGCAACGCGCGCGGCATTTTGAAGCAGAGATTTACTCTCTGCCTGCAATATAAGTATGAATGGCATGCCTGTTGAATGAATTATCGATATTTTTGGTATGATTGTGTTGCACTGTATTGTATTTCATTTCATTTGTGTATGTCGTGTTAAATTTTGGGCAACCAAAAGCCGGCTGCTGCCGCTGGGATGTGGCAGTCGGTCACTTTTGTTTTCGTTGCAAAACCGTTTTGCATCCCGAGCACAGATCGCCAAACGCGTCGGTGTTAGGCGGGCACTTTTTATTATAATCGGTCTGTGCTCACAAAGCTATCTCATGTACTTAGGTAGGGACCAAAGGCAGGTTTTATTAAAATAGTTTTAAGTCTCCTACTCCTCTTAGATGTGTGAATGATGAATTGTTTTTAGATATTTGTGTACTAATCTTTTTCCGCTTTCAGGATAATCGCGATTTAGCTATTGGTTGACATTAGGCAGGGTTTTAGGTCCTTCCTTATCCTTAATAATGTCTTTTTCTTACAGCAATTTGTGTGTTTCTTGTATGTTTTATTGATATTTGTGTTATTATTTATTATGAATTTGTATTGTGAGTGTGAATGAGTTCCAAATATCCAAAAAAATCCTTACTAATGAATTATGTTTTTCTTTCAGCAACTAATGAAATATTTCTTCTATGTTTTCAGGGCGTTTTGTTTGAATTGATAATTAATCTTTTAATTTATGTTGCAGGGTCCAGGTTGCTCGACAATCATTGATGTGTTCTGTGTTGTTTTGTTTTTTATTCTTGAATTTTACTAATCACAAGTTTGTTTGCTTGTTTGTTTGATACAGGTATTCGAAGTGCTTGGTGAACTGGTAGAATCATTGATATGAGTGTATTTATAATCATATATTACTAGTCCTTGTGTCTTATTAAAAACTGTTAAAATTTATGGAAAATCGCTCAAAGCGAACTCGAAAAGCTGAATGCTTTGCTGCTGCAAATATTAATTCTGATATGATGTGAAAGGATTTCTGCAATATACCAAAGGAAGAAGATCTTAAATGGATGGAATTGATTGTAGAAATGAGAAAATTGCCGAAAATACTTTTAAAATGGAACGCCCACCAAACACCAGTCAGTATCACTTGGAAACTTGTATTCGTTTACATTCGGTAAACAAAATCTGCTTTGATTTCGCCTGAACTTTATTTCAATTTTGCATTAAGATACGTAGAGTCAATCGGTCAACAATTACACACACACACACACAGTATCAACTGTTATGAATAATTGTGTTTGTGCATTTTTATATAGTGCGCGAGTGTGTTTATATAGTGCGCGTGTGTTGAATTATAGTGCGGGAGTGAAAATCGAATTTCATCAGTTTTCACACTTACATACACACACACATACACTTACACTTTCTACCCTGTTCATGATCATTGACTGGGCTCTAGGGTATTGCTGTGCTTCGGCACAGCTTATCCGACATTTTTAACACAACTACACTTACGCATTTTTCACCTCATCATAAATAACATAAATTAAAACAATACAACATTTGGTCAACAATAATCGGAACCGAATAAAATTAAGAATGATATTCAAATATTGAATTAGATTTCATTTTCTGGGGAAAACATTTGCAGGCAGCCAACTTCAAATTGCATCATTTATAATAAGACACGAAGAAATCAATCAGATAGAGAATTTTCCCCAAGATGTATGTGGATTCCATTAAGAAAATGGAAAATATTGGCGGACTGAATTATTCCAAATGAGAAACGAAGTCGAAGATAGAATGGATCCTGAATTAACAGAAACAACTAAATAATGAACTACAAGTTAGATACAACGAGAAAAATGGAATGAAAATAGGAATTGGATAGGAGTAGCAACTGTCATAAATAATTGTGTTTGTGCATTTTTATATAGTGCGCGAGTGTGTTTATATAGTGCGCGTGTGTTGAATTATAGTGCAGGAGTGCGGGAGTGAAAATCGAATTTCATCAGTTTTTATAGTTACATACACACACACATACACTTACACTTTCTGCCCTGTTCATGATCATTGACTGGGCTCTAGGGTATTGCTGTGCTTCGGCACAGCTTATCCGACATTTTTAACACAACTACACTTACGCATTTTTCACATCATCATAAATAACATAAATTAAAACAATACAACATTGGGTCAACAATAATCGGAACCGAATAAAATTAAGAATGATACTCAAATATTGAATTAGATTTCATTTTCTGGGAAAAACATGTGCAGGCAGCTTCAAATTGTATCATTTATAATAAGACACGAAGAAACCAAACAGATGGAGAATTTTCCTAAAGATGTATGAAGATTAAGAAAATGAAAAATATTGGCCAACCGAATTATTCTGAACGAGGAACGAGAAATTACAAGGAGTCGAAGATATAATGGATCCTGAATTAACTGTAACAACCAAAGCATCGACTTCAGGTTAGCTACAATGAGAAAAATTGAATCAAATTGAAAATTGGAATTGGATATGAATATCAACTGTGAGAAAAATTGTGTTTGTGTGTTTTTATAGAGTGCGCGAGTGTGTTTACATAGTGCGCGAGTGTGTTTATATAGTGTTTTAAAATAATCAACAACTATTTAGAAATACAGAAGACAGAAGACAAAACCCCAGAAGAAGTAACTTATCAAGAAAAATATCAACCACAACTGAAAATAAATGGAATTGGATACATCTCAAAAAGAGAAATGAAATAAAAATGGAAATGGTTAAATGCTGATATCAACTTACGAGTATAGTGAATTGTTGTGAATTATTAATAGTGCGCGAGTGTTGAAGTATATCGTGCGGGCCGTTATACAATTGTTAGTGCGAGTGCGGGAGTGTCGTGAAATATTTAATCATTTCTTTACAGATCAACAGTTTGCACGATTGCACGAAAAGTCACTGTTTGAAATAGTCATGTTGCACGTTATTATGTCTCACTTTTGAATGCGAAACATGAAGATCCTTCCATCCTGAGGACCAAGATGAGATGAGGCGTTCTTTTGATATAAGGCACATTTCAAAAGAAGTTGAGGTGAGTTACAATTACAATAAATATTTGGTGGCAATAATAATTATTTTCATATATATTTTTTAATATTAAAAGAAGCCGAAGAAGCAGATGTGATCCGTCCACGCCGAGGTTGATCCTGATAGTCTCGGCTCAGCTATCTTTCCGCCTTTGGGGGTCAGGGCCTGATGTGTATACCCATCAAGGAATGGGCTACTGCCCTCAGGGGTATGCAAAACTGGAAAGAAACTGAGGTGTGTTTTATTACAATCATTTTCTTATCACAAGATTTTTTATTTACTTATTTTATTGATGTTAATTTCAGCTGAAGGCGAAGAAGAAGAGACCAATGTGATGCAGTTCCACTAACGCCGATGTCGATCCTGAAGATCTCAGCTCAGCTATCTTTCCGCCTTTGGGGGTCAGGGCCTGATGTGTATACCCATCAAGGAATGGGCTACTGCCCTCAGGGGTATGCAAAACTGGAAAGAAACTGAGGTGTGTTTTATTGCAATCATTTTCTTATTACTAGATTTTTTATTTACTTATTTTATTGATGTTAATCTCAGCTGAAGACGAAGAAGAAGAGGCCGATGTGATGCAGTTCCACTAACGCCGATGGTGATCCTGAAGGTCTCGGTTCAGCTATCTTTCCGCCTTTGGGGGTCAGGGCCTGATGTGTATACCCATCAAGGAATGGGCTACTGCCCTCAGGGGTAGGCACAACTGGAAAGAAACTGAGGTGTGTTTTATTACAATCATTTTCTTATCACTAGATGTTTTATTTACTTATTTTATTGATGTTAATCTCAGCTGAAGAAGAGGCCAAATGTGGTGCTGGTCCGTTCACGCCGAGGTCGATCCTGACGTATCCAGTTACCCAGCGAGCAGGAGCCTTTGGAGATCAGGGCTCGATGTGTATACCCATCAAGGAATGGGCTGCTGTCTCCAGGGGAAAAAAATAATATTTGGTCGTAATAATATTTGATTTTATTTATTTTGACTGTTAACAGAAGTCAAAGAAGAAGATGTGATCCGTCCACGTCGAGGTTGATCCTAACGGTCACAAATTAGCCAGTTTTCTAGCTGACCACCAAGGGTCAGAACCTGATGTGTATACCCATCAAGGAATGGGTTTTTACCCTTGCAAAGCCGGAAAAAAACTGAGGTGAGTTTTATAAGAATTAATTTTTTATTACATAACTTTATTTACTTATTTAATTAATGCTAATCGAAGCTGAAGAAGAGGCCAAATGTGGTGCAGATCCGTTCACGCCGAGGTAGATCCTGACGTATCCAGCTTTCCAGCAAGAAGAAGTCTTTGGAGGTCAGGGTTCGATGTGTATACCCATCAAGGAATGAGCTGCTGCCTCCAGAGGCACGAACAGCCGCCAAGATGCTGAGGTAAGTAATATTTAAATAATGATTCACTATTATATACATGCTTTGATGACTCTGAGTTTTTATAAAATTATTTACAGAAGCTGGATGATGTCATTGCTTTGGGGATGAGGATTCAAGTATCGGAAGCATGGACCATCAACAAACATACAAATTATGCCTTTTTAATTGCTTTAATCTTTTATGTGTTTTGTTCTGTTTTAGTTTTAGGAAGGAATGTGGAAAGAGAAGAAGATTAAGAAGAAATGTAATAAAAGATGTCACATTCTACAAAGAAGAAAACAATATCAACAAATCTCAGAATGAGATAATTCAGGATTGTGTTTCATATGTTCACGAGCAGTTTGTAGTGTAGTAGTAGAAAGCACGTAGTATTAGTACTAGTATGTAGTAGTAGTATTAGTTGTAGTCGTAGTCGTAGATGTAGTTTAGTGAACTGCAAAATGAACATTGAAATGCAATCAATCACCATTGCCTAGTTGGCAATGCCAACTGCTGCTGACTTCGTATATTCAAAGATGGGAAAATGCAAATCGACATTTGTTCCTGAACAACTTATAGCTTCACTTTATTTTTGTTTTTTTATTAAATTTTGTCACTTATGTAATTTTTTGATTTTACAACTTCTAATGTTACAAATTGAATTTTTAATGTTTTATGTTTTGCCTTGGTGGTATTTGCAACTGTCGATAGGAGAAAATAATTAATTAAGTTAATTTGATAAAAAAAATAATTAACTGTATTTTTACAACTTTGACAATATATTTTCACAGGGCATGGGGTAGTAACATTTTGTTTCTGATGTTGGTCAGGAGTACAACATAAATTACAACTACACGCAGTACTCTGCACTTCTGTCTCTTTTATAATACTTAATATTAATTTGATAAGATGTTATTTAGTGAATTAAAAGTGTTAACTTTGTACAAATTTATGAAAATTGTAAGCTTTATCATTAGAAAAGATAAAACAGTTACCCGAATTGACAAACAAACGCGTGTGACTGCGATGCCGAAGCGCAACTTAATGATATTTAATTATAATATTTTGTAATTTGTATTTAAATTGATTAGTTTTCGCGCCAGTTCGAAATTTTGGTAATGTTTCAAAGAGACGCTCGGCGCAGCGATACTGCATTAGATATTCGCGTCCTTTTGTCCTTGTAACCACGCCATCCGACGCTGAACGAAGCGCTCAAGCGCAGCGCGCCGCACAGTTTCAGTCGACGCGCCATGTTCAACAAGACTGCAGCACCACGTTCAGGTCCGAAAAAATGGCCGTTAATTTGCAAAATATCACGATTAATTAAAGTAACTAATTAGAAATCATTACTCAACGGACTCTAATGTAAGTCTCTTGCATTTTTCTTTACTTTCGGTGTATAATAATTAAAATTGGTATATTGCATATTGTTTCCTATCGCACGTAATTTTTACTCGAATTGAAATCAAATTATACCAGGTTATAGATACTTTTAATTGCTACAAAGATGTGGATTTAAATTTTGTGAGGAATAATTAATTTAGTCATAAAATTAAGTCATTTGATTATGTATCCATGTATCGTATTGCCATTTAACGAATTTTGTGCCTACGTGACTAAAAGAATGCATTCTCGGTCATCTTATCAGTTGTTTTTACTCTTTGCACTATTCGATCGTCTTTTTTTGTGGCAGGTGTGAACGCTAGATGCGTTTGCAACACGTAACGTACGAGCGAGCAAGTTTGTGCCTGTCTTATCAGTTATGTCTTCTCACTTGTGACTTGCGCAAAGCACATTGAAGTTGTTTTGATTGTAACATTCCAATCCCATGCTAGTATACTTGTTGCCATTTCTTTTTTTAACACATTTAATTCATCTAATTTCTCTTTCTCTCTTCGCCTCTTTATCTATAAATTTTTATTTACAAATTAGTCAACGGTTTTAACATTTTATTTTATTTTGCGTTTATTGGGTAATTTTCTAATACTTTATTTTTCTATCTGCTTAGGTTTTGGATTTCCATAAATCCATCCTCAAGCCCGCAGTATTAAGGACACTGCACTACAATGGCGGAATATCGTAAATATGATTATCATTGGTACCAGGTTTGAAATTTTGTACAATTTTCATTTATTTTCATTTATATACGCATAACAATTACTTTTGCCTTTTTTGGGCATGTGTAATAATAAATTCACGCGATTTTCAAATTATGTCGTTACATGATTTGCATCATTAATAATTGTGAAGTGAAGTGCGCGGATACAATAAATGAATAAATTAAAATGCACTACGTTAAAAATTTCCACATACTAATTGTTCTTTCTGCTTGTGTTTCAGGTACAAATTCGATTTTATTGGAAATTTTTTTACCCCGGGCGCGTTTTCGTATGTATGTTTCTTGCCGTTTTACCGTTTATTTCATACTATTCTCCTAGATTTTTTTTGGTATCTTAAAGATTCCAAAATATGGACAGTTTTGATTCTTATTTTGAAATTATTATTTTGTTTAGTATTTACATTTTGTTATAATTATATAATTATTATTTCCGGAATAGGGACAATTTTCAATTTAATTTTCATAAAATTTGATTCAATTTCTTTAAAAAAATTCAAAGAACTCTTTTTTTACTTTGATTTATTTAATTTATCTTTTTGTTATTATCATTCTATTTTTATAAATACTACTATCCTAGTCCAGTACTTTTTATCACCCTTAATAATCTTTTTTTACAGCAAATAGTGCATAAAAATATAAATTCGGTTGACCTGGAGAGGTGTAACGAAATACTCATCGAGTGCGGGTCGCGACGCGTTTATAAACCAATACTATCGACAGAGTTTTTATTATACAAATAATCTTATCCGAATCACTACAGAATCGAGTGCGCGACGTGTTAAATACGAGTTATCCGTCAAAGTTTCGCGTTATTTGTCTCTCGCTAATCAAGAACGTCTTCTAAATCGGTTTCTACTCGAGAAGTTTTACCATTGAGGGAGATGAAGAAGATGAGTCAACTACAAGCATCCTACCAGCGTTTTGGACAGAAGTTTGGAAAATATCGACGCGTCCTCCTGAGAAACTCTGACGTAGGATCCCAGTTTCTAGGAGCCGGATGTAAGGTAGGTGTGGTGATGACCTGGACCGGAGGGTAGTCACGAGTGCCCCTGACTGATGGATGCGCAAAGCATTTTGCTGCGTATGCAACAGCCGAAGGGGAGGTACACTCGAGGCTAGGTCCTTGGTTCAGGGATAGTCCACCCAGCATTGCTAGAAACGCCGGACGTCTATAAGCACTGAGTGAGTACACCTGACACCAAACTGGTTGTCTTGTATATTTATGCGCAAACATATACCCGTGCATTCAAATCACCGTAACAATCCCGTGAGAATTCGCCTGAATCCGATAATTTGTTTATATTTTGCTGTCGCGGTTGCAATTTAAAGCGCGATTAACTTATCAAAAGACACCAGCAATTAATTTGGTCAAATATTAAATTATTCCAGGAGATGGAATACTGCGTTAAATTCTTCATTCGCGGTTTTCGCGATTGCAACTCGATTATTTCAGGCGCGCTTCAATGTCCAATGTGGAAAACAAAAGATGACAACATCAACAACAAATTATTAGCTATTTGCTCATAATTCCAAATACTTGAGCCATCGTAATTCGCGACCGTAAATCATCGCGCGTAAAAATTGTATGAATGCTGAAGACTGATGAATGAAACCTTTATTTTAATTGTTGGTATGAATGCATTTATTTATTTTGTTTATATTTGTGTGTGTTAAATGTTTGGACGATGTGCGTGCACATGGTACCAATAGCCTGGTGCACACAGTGGTGCAGCAGGTCACAAGGCATATACGACATGTATTATTATTCCGCGGCGAAAACCGATTCGCCACCCTAATCACAGATCGTCAAACGCGGTCGCGAGCATATTACGCAAAACAACAAATGTTGTTCAAACGTATTTGAAACGGTCTGTGATTATTAGTTAAATATGTTGTTAGGTAGGGAAAACAGGCAGGTAAAAAAATTGAGTCAACTATTCCCAAATCCTTTGAGTGTGTGAATGATATTTGTACAACTTATAGACGTATATTATAATATGTATGTATATTATTGACGATTTTAAATGAAGCTTGGTTAATTGTTTATTACAGAATTATTAATATTTAAGAATTATAAAATGGTTAAAATAACTATCTTGTTTTAACTGATATAAGCACTCTATAAATAATTAAAATTAACCAATAAGCAACCAGCTTCATTTGATACATATCGTGTGTTTAATGAATTTTTCCGCTTTCAGAAGTCACCGCGATTATTACAAGTAGCTCCGCGATTTTAAGTCCTTGTGCAGGCAGGAACGTATTAGGTCCTTCCCATATTTCCTATTATTCCTGTTATATTAATTAACAATATTGTAAATATAAACAGTTAAGTAATATATTGTTGCTTTGATTTATTTCGAGTGTGAATGAGACAAAATCCAATAACACCCACCCCTCAAGTTGTAATTTAAACATGTGCTAATTAAATTCTTCTTTTAGGTTGACCTTTGTTATTTTGAGAAAATATATATCTACCTCTGCTTAATTCTTTTATTTTGCCTTCTCATAACTAAATTATTTTTTAAGTTTGTTTTAGGAAACTGCAATGGCAACGTATTTATTATATTATTAAATATTTGGTTTTTAGTGTCTTCACATAATGACTTAAAATATTTATTTCCATTTTTAAATATCGTGTAATACCGACATGTTTTGAAAATATAACAATTTGTAACACAACACGGTATTTAAAAATGGGGATAAATATTAAACGTTTCTAATACCGTTATGCAACATTTTCAGCGAGCTATCCTGTACATGTTTACAAGACCAAGGAGCGCGTAGTCCCAAAACAAACCCGAAGAGTGGAACCTAAAAACCTGCGATTCTGCGCTACGATTTTATTGTGAACACATTCTTAGGGATATAGGGTAAGGCAGGAGTTAAGTAGATGAATTAGTGGATTTAACGAATAATACTGATATGTAGTAATACACCTCTTTATTTAAAAGGGATTCCGAAATATGACCACATACTTAAAGGAGTTCTCGGGTACTCGATGTCAATAATTAGGTACTTTAGGAAACTTTCGTGAGGTTTTGCGGGTATACAAGTATGGTTAGTTCAAGTATTAATTGCTTAATTAGAGGAAAGAAAATAAAAACATCGAACCTGATTTTTTAAGAGATATACCTTTTAATCAATTGCCATTCATTCTACAAGCTGTATCATGCCGTAGGTTACAAATTATTTAAAACAAGCAGAATTACCAAAAGTTTATTAATTTAATCACCGATTAATGTTATTTGCATAAGAGTATTTTAGTATCTTTACGGTTTATAAAAACGGGAAGACAGTACTTGCACGCAAATGGAATTTTAAGAGTATTAGAAATTACCAATGCATAGGTAAAAATAAACAGCGTTTTAAAGATTAAATAAAAAGAAATACATATACATTGCATAATATACAAATAAAATAATTCAGTAGCTGCGCAAGAAATAGATAACTAAGACAGAATAAGTAGTAACAATATACACACAGTTTACAGGTTCCTCTCTTATTATAAATTCATAATATATATGTATATCGAATTATGTTTTTATGATTTATATATTTATGTATATAGATATATTTCCTAGTTTTATTCGTTCACCATTACGTTTCTATATCTTTGATGATTCGCGTTTATACAATATGTTTATATTAATCATATATTAATATATAATTTGCTTTAGTTAAATAAAACAGAGCTAGGATCCTCGTTGTCCATTTGCTTCACATGGCGCAGGACATCCTTTTTGGTTATCACCCCCAACAATCGTCTGAAAATAATTTAGTTAATAATCACAAAATGCAAAGAAATGTATCACTTGCCCATTATGAGTAACCAAAGTTTGACGCAATCCTAGTTTTCTGAACATATCTACGACGGTCTCCATGGGCGTCTGATCGGTGATAGTGATAGGAGCCATGTCTAAAATCTTCTTCAGGTTCAATGGTGGAGGGCCCAGAGTTTGTGGTGGATTACCACTTGTAAATACTACTAAACTTTGACCACATATTCCGTCCACCAATCTTTTGGCATTTGCTAAATATAGAAATTCATAAGTAAATTGAAGTTATTTTGAATAATTATAGTAAATAATTACCAATTGCAAGATTTAAATCACGACGTAACACAAATCCGACTAAATACTGCGATTCCATCGATACAACAACCGGATAGCCATTGTGCTCTGTTTCTTTGAGAAGTTGCTCGACGTCGTCCATCGTCATAGAATCCTGCGTTATCACGCTCAAACTTTCATTTCGTCTGAAACACAAATATGTTATCTCGTGCTAGAGAAAAATTACATGTTTCATACTTTGGCTGCATCACATCCGCAGCTAGGGATGTATGCGCAAACTCATCTTTGGAATCTAAGAACGGATATCCGTTCAGTGCAATATGCGCATCGTATATTCCTTGTCTGCCCAACGCATCGCCCACCCACTTACTAGCCATAGCAGCGGCCATTAAAGGCACAATATATCGCACGCCGCCAGTCAACTCAAACATTATGACTACTAGCGAGACAGTCATTCTTGTGACACCTCCTAAAACCGCTGCTGCGCCAACCATAGCATATAAACCGGGTGTTATGCAATCGTCACCTGTCGAGCATTCACCCGTAAACAAAAATGTTTTCGGGTAGTTATACGCCAGTTGTTCAACGGCAATACCAAATATCCTGCCAACAATTGCGCCCAAACAGAGTGAGGGAATGAACAAACCGCACGGCACTTTAATGCCGAAAGTAAACACGGTCATGATGAGTTTCAGTATCAATGCGAGGATCAAGAGCCAAATCGCTTTGTACACGCCATCTCCTGCGGCGGCAATATCGATTGCAGAGTTCACATCAGTGTAGTTTCTATTGTAGTCGCTGTAAAAATCGTTAAGATATTAAACTGCTAAGCTATTTTTATGTAGAACTATTTACCATAGGTTATCCGAATTAGAAATGCCGCATTGACTGAATAATAAATAAATCAATTGGCTAGTGTTCATTCGTGTGTATGGATTCGGATAAGCAATGATGGCGGTGATGACAGTGACCACCAAAACCTCAGTAACAGGATACTGTCCCAATTTTGAGAATTTCCTGTACCGGCACCAATATAGATTGGCTTTGATGAATATTGTTGCAATGACACCCTAAATCGCAAAATAAATATAAATTCAGGAAAACAATGCAATCAATAAACTCACTCCAATTATTCCAAGAGTAATAAACGGGATCAATTCAAAGAACATCCACGGTTTGTTGTACTCCACAAAGAAAAGTACTGAATGCTCATTACCAAATGGATTAATCGATCTCAAAATGAACGCGGCAATTAAAGCGCAAAAGAAGGACCTCCACAAGGTTTTCAGGGGAAAGTAGTAGCTCACCTAGAAAATCAAACTCATTAATAACACTTATCAAGTATTCTTCTCGCGGTCAAAAATTAAAATGCTCATAAAACAATGATATTCGTCGTCTTACGTCATTATTATGACAATAGATCTTGTTAATGTTCTTACTTCTTCCAAGCTGAACAATACTCCACCGATTGGTGCACCAAAGGCAACAGACACGCCGGCTGCAGCAGCGGCTGACAAGATTTCACGCTTTTTTGCCTCGTTTCGGCCATATTTCGGGAATAAATACGATAAAATGTTGCCTATCGCACAAGCAATGTGCACCATCGGCCCTTCTTTTCCCAAACTCAAGCCCGACGATACTGAGAGTATTAAACCGACACTCTTGATAATAAGAGTCCATTTTCCCAAATAGCCTCTTATGATGAAACCACTCAATATGGTTTTAATCTGAAAAATATATAATCGTAATAAGTAAAGTTAAAATGATATAAGTTTTTAAGTTACCTCAGGTATACCAGAACCACAAGCATATGGTGCAAACATTCGTACTAAAGATGCTGACAATGCCGCAAACAATAACGCCCAAATAATATAAAACAAATAAGATATTATGTAGGAGCCAGCGCCAAATTTGGATTGTCCCAAAACTTCAGCCCATGTGAGCCACTAAAAAAAAACCATTTTTATTATAATCGCCATCATAAAGTCAATGCAGATATCAAACGAATTCATGAATCATTCAACATTTTATGATCAAAACAAACTTTAATTGTTTTGAAAAAATAAGATATACCTGAGAACAATTGCCAACATCAAAGCTAGTTTCATTCATTGACCAACAACATTGTTCCTGATTCAGCCAGAAAGCCTGTGGGCATATCCCAAACTTCAAATCAGTCATCCAACTGGCTCCAATATCAATTACACCAGCAATAACACCAGTGCACAATCCGACCAGCAATACACATAACCAGCCAGACCAAGCATCATGTGCGCCCTCAATCAAATTCCAAATCGAATCTTGCTTCTTTTTAATAATGTATCTGTGTCTCATCCGATCTCTGGCAATGTCTCTCTGCCAATCAATGGTGTGGAAATCATCATATTGGCCAATTCCCGGAATGTCACCATGTTCATGACTCCCACTGAATGCAACTCCACCTTCAAACAAAAACACGCGCTCAGTTCAAGCCTAAATACATTTATAATGAATAAATACCAGTGACTTCGTCGTCATCTGTTAATCTTGAGCCTCTATTATCTCCCATGCCTGATGTGTTTATGTCAATCATATCGTCATCCGAATTTACGTACGTTACGCGTGGTGATTTATTTGTAAACTGAAAACGATTGTAAAATTAAGTAAACAACGCGATTAGCACTTGAAACACTGCAAACATTGTATCACTGCAACGCTTTTCTTGCAGCAGGCTGGCGTATCAAAAATACGCCAACAGCACCTGCGCGTGGCCAAAAATCGATTTTCGTGGCAGTGTGTTAGCAGGTCATTACAAGATGTTGGTATCAACACAACCCAGAGAAAACACAAAAAACTGTACAAAACTCAGCAAATATAACAAAAGTAACAATAGATATGTTTAACAATAAAACTTTAGTGTATATTAAGTAGCTGTGTAAGCAAACTGCAAAAGCAAATTGCAAATTTAAGCAAACAACTCAGTGCAGCACATCACATCACTCAGACTTTAGTGGTGATAAAAAACAAGTACCATGTTTGTAGACTAGGTGAAGTCACTGTTTTGGTCTATTATCTACTCCTGTGGATTCTAGTATTAAAGTCATTTTGAAACTTCACTTATCACTACACTATTTTTTTTATAATAAAAATAAAGAACTGTCAATTACTTGTTAGTCATTGCAGAGCATAAAGTAACAGATTAGCTACAGAGCAGCACAACAAGGCAATATAGCATTTACCTTTTTATTGTATACCGTTTGATAAGTTGTGGGCTGATTTGCTGGTATATTTGTACCCTTTCTTAGTGGGAACTTTTCCATGACTTGAGGACCTACAATTGTAACAATTGAACATGTACTCAATAAAACATATTTCACTGTTTGGAAGAAATTATCATTAACAGCAAGCTTTCTCCATTGATATTTACCATTTTTTGGTTAAAACACTTGATAATTACGGCTGATGATCGTTATCTACTGCATGTATGGCGATAAATGATTGATAAGCTAATTGTTCATCGAAGGTTTGTAAAAAATTGACATAACTAAATCGGTTTTAACACATCATGAATAAATACGATACGATTGTGTATTAGAGAAATTCACTTGTTTATGTTGGCTATTTTGAACTTCCCATAATGTTTGTGTGATGTCGCTAGTATTGATAATGTCATGATGACAGATAAAACGCCGGGCGATTCAAAAGTTGGATTTATTTGCTCTCTATAGCTAAGTTTTTTAATGATAAAAACAATAATATAAATATGAAAATAATATAAGTAATAAACTAGAAACATTTTAATTAAATATACCATATCTTCATTCTCAATATAATGTTTGCAATTTAGGCAAACCAGAATACAACATCCACATAATAGAAGTTCAGAAGTGTTGGTTTCTTTTTTAAATATCGGATAAATAGGATGATTCTTTATAAATTGTTATTTTGTAACATTGTTTTCCCAATGGATTCTTGAACAAGTATTTTGTTTCTGATAAAAGAATCGCAATAAAAAGAAAAATAACAAAGAAACTGGAGATTAAGTTTGCCATAAATTACAACTCACCATTGTAGCTTCATCGCCTCGGGAAACTTAACATCATTATCTGATGTAGATGGACCCTCGAGAGGAAAACAACCATTTTCGCATGTACACCGAGTGCCGTCATGGTACTTGAAGTTAAAAGTCGCTTGCAAACAGTTTGCATCTAATTGTAAATATTAAAAAACAAAGCAACCAAACTGCCCTGAATAAATATATCCAGATCATCTTAATAAATTAAGTGAATTCCAATAACACGTCTCGACGTTTTTATTAAAACGATACAATGTAACAGGTGAAAAGTCCGCCGCGAGTGCGTAATATAAAAGAAGATAATTTATTGATGATCATACGCGCATGAATAAGAAAAAGACGCGCACGTGTGGTAAATGCTAATAGATGACGGACGTTCGTTACCTTAATGCTGATCGTAATACGGTGGCGGCAGCGAGGTGGAGCCGGGGCGAGCAGGCAGGCAGCAAGAAAACGCCTGCAGGTGCAGCGGCGTCGACTGTCTGCTCACCCCGGGGCTCTTCATCTCTAGCGCTGGAGGTGTGCCGGTCCCGGCGCGCTCTCGCCGCGAGCGCTCCGCGTAGATACGAGCGCGCCGCGACTCGAGCCGGGGCCCTGTTTCGGTGCCGCGGGGCCGAAAGCCCCAATTGGTTCTTTGTAGAGGATATTGAGTTCAGAGTAACCATAGTAACTACCTTGGGGCAGTCTGTCCTAGAAGCAAATTTTACATACCTCTCCATTATATGTTTTTGAGAGGTTTTCATGTGTACGTTGGCTGCGACGCGCCGACGCCGTCGTTGGCGAGAGAAGTTTCATATAAAACGCGCAAAACTAACGGCCACTAGCGCTTCCATTCGTAAATTTCACGGGACCGTGCGCTTATTGAATTAGTAGCCTATAGCGAAAGAACAAATAGAGCGCCGAGGACGGAAAGAGGACACTCGACGGTCTTAACACCGCGAGCGTTTTCGTACAGCATGATACATTACGCAATCATGTAATGTAAACTACAACAAAATGCGGAGGATCTTAAAATTTGAGTGTTGTTGATATCACGGGAGAGTACATTAGCATCCGGTGTCCAATGTTGATTATATACTACACATTACATCAACAAAATAAAGGCAGCCTATGTTGTACTCATTATAATTACAACATGTCTGTAAAATCACGAGTTTTCACTCTTACCATCGGTTTTATCAGAACTTTTAGTCAGCGGCGGTAATTCCATTGTATTTAAACTGACAATATGGCGATTTACTAGATGACCAACTCATTTTTAACATAACAATCACGGTGCATCATATTTCGTGTTTGTATTTCACATAATTTACAATTCCAGAATATTACATATTGCTAAGTGTTAGTGAACATGTGGACAATGCAACATTTCTTCATAGGCTAGTCGATTGTATCCATTGTCGCATCACCGTCCAAACCCTCACAATGAAAATTGAGTAAATGTGGTGTGTGACAATATAAAAAATTACCTTGACTTCACAATGCCTCCTTAGTTAGTTTGCATAATGAAAAGCACGATTATCAGTATCTTAAATCTGCAATTAAGAAGAAACAATAATTATTGAAGATTTATTACACAATGTATTGCAGTATTATGCACTCCGTCCCCGAAGCAGTGCGTTACAACGCATGGACCTATCATTATCGCGGCAGCCATTTGCCAAAGTGTAAATGCACCGAAATATGTACAACAATCATTAACAAAACATGTTAAAACTTAATGATTATAAATTATTTATATATATTTGATAGTATCTTATGTAATAGTATGCCCATGAAACGGAAGCAAAAAGTTTCCAAACGCTCGCCGTCCTTACTCTAATAGAATTCGTTATATATATATATGTATACGCGTATCACAATTAAATCAACCCGGGAGGGCCCGCCGAATGAACAAGTATTCAGAGAACTGTTGGCCCTCGACACCGCCACCATTACTGGCCGCGATTCGGAAGCCGGAATTCAATAACCGCGTGATCGCCTGCACCGAGTTGAGTTTGCAGTAGCCGTTGAGCGGAAACCGGATCACGTGGTGCACATCCTGCTGGTTCCACGATACGCCCGAGCGCGCGTCCATCAGCGCCTGGTTGGTCTCTGGGAACACCTCGTCCAGCACGGTGCGATCGCCTGAAAGCATAATGCGTTCGCCTAGGTCTGGACTGACGTGCAGCGCGACGCACTCGTACGCCTCGCCGCCGCTTCCTCGGGTTGATGCGTCGGGGGTTGCACTTGGCGGCCGGTTCAATTTTGCACTGCCTGCCACAATGCCGTTTTTGATTTTTTCCTTCTTTAGCTGTTCTAGTTGACGTACCATTGCTGTAAGCAGAAAGCACACGATGCCAGGCAATTATTGAAGGGCTGCATGCTGCAGTTGAGATGCAATTTGTTTTGACACTTACGACCGATGTCGAAGTAGCGCGCTTCCTCTAGTAGTAGGTCCACGTCGTTGAAGTTCTCAGGAATGAACAGCCGTGAGTTGCGCATGAAGTTGAGGATATGTCGAAACATGCCGCCGTCTCTGTCAATGAAGTAGTGCTGCTTCAGTGAGTCCAGAACAATTGGGATCGTGCCGTTGAACAGTTTGGCCAGACGGGATTCTGGATATCTGATTTGATAAACACAACGTTTAACATCAATTAAATTCAAAATAATTTAAATTAAAACTTTCTGAAATTAATATTATGACGACTATTATGAACGATTGTCGCAGACACATTGTATATTAAGGTGTATGGTATGTAGAAAATACGTGGTACAGAAAGAAATATGCATTTTTTGCCTCGAGGTCAACCGCATAGGTATAATATAAACACGTACAGCCACAGACTTGCCCTCAAGTCATGCCGTTGTGGTTCTTGCCTTTATTTATTTCAAGACTCATGTCAGACGGTGCCCCGCGTCACAATCGCATGCACGCCTGTATTTGTGTAACTCCGAACTGCTAAGAATCGTTTTGCCCGGCGGTCATTTTGCAAATGGCCATATTTAGCCCGAAGTAAGTGGGCTGATGATCAATTTCAACGAAAACAACGCGTGGAAAAATCGCCATTTAAAGCGCTTACGCTCGCGGACATTGCGCGCATATATACAAAATTCGTCTTGAAAAAATATCGCACTTATTCCACACTCATCTACACGTGAGCGCCGGCGTATAAATAAATAAGGAGAGATAGTGTCGTCGCGAGAGAAACACACGGATTAAACGGGCGGTAATGATTCGCGTAGGAATTAACAAATAATCAAGCGCCGTAATCGAAGCGTTCATAAATCACCGCCACAACAAGCAACAAAAACGCGTGCCAAATGTGGACGCAAAACGCCCCAAACGTGTGTTTGTCCAACACGCCATGCCGTGCAACGCGTTTAGTTGTTTAATGGCAAGCGATAAGGCAAGTGCTAATTTGGCTTATAAACAAACGATGCGGCGATACCGAAATGATGAATGCCTTAATAATATAAACCAATCTTTATATAATTTCTCAACATTTTCGAAGCCAAACAACCAACCCAACCAGTTTGGAGGCGTAATCACGTCCATTAGTAAAATTACAAGAGGCGAAACTCTTCTTCGACTCGTTATCGCGGTTATTACACACTTTTAATTCTTACTTGGTAAGTGTTTCCAGCGAGGACGTGTAAATGGTGCCGCCGACATCGATATGCACTGGCGCGGTGTATCTGGATGAGGCGGCGACGCAAGGAATGCCGGTCATTTTGTTGTAGCTCAGTGCCGGTGGCGTCGGCGAAGACGAATTTGACATGGTCGGTGACGTAGCCGGTGAACTACTGGGCGACATCAGTCTGAAAAAATAGCCAAATACATTCCCTTGATAAATTATCCTCCGACAGAGAGGCGTTAATTATGTGAAAATGGTAACTCACCTCATTTTGATTTGAGTGCTTGAATACATTGTACGATTAGTTAAGTCTTTAGGCTCTTTGTCCAAATCATTGCGTCCTATATCTAGTTTTTTTCTAGAAACAACAAAAATAGTCAAATTGTAGATGTCCACAGTTTTAATTATAAATGCGGTGGATGTAAATAACCTAATATAATTGTAAAGAAGTTTTCACTTTAATTAAAATAGTTGAATATTTAATCAGCAATATTATTGGTTCCATTAAATTATTACTAAAAATAATGGTTTTTAATTAAATATTTGCCAGTTGCCATTGTTTTCACGGTGAAAACTTGTTTCGCTTCAATTTTCATAATTAAAAATGCAGTTTCGTTTCTATTCATGACTTTTGAATGGGTAATATTTAGACATTAAATCAATATGTAGAGGAATAATCATAATTGGCTTTAGTACTCATCTATAACAAAAAGTATTAATATTTTAACATATTGTGGTAAAATATGTTAAAAACACTTCCTAGCAGTTATTAAGTTGCATTTGCCTGCGGTAAAAGCGCAATGAGTCATTTTAGATGCTAGAAAGTAACATTTTATGCACTTATGCAAAAACTTGTACCTCTATACAATGATATATCAATTCAGAGATCAATTCAATCGAAAAGCAATCTCAAATATGTATTCCGTTAAAAGTTTCATACAAAACACTCGTAGTTCCAATCTTATCAATCATGTTCATGCATACAAAACAACTGGACTAGTTATGGGCACGCGACGAGCTCAACACAACGTCTAGGAACATCTCGTCGAAATAAAATATAGCAGAGGTGGGTTCAGCATCCACCCGCACCTAAATACTGTTGAAACACACATACGTTCCCATCACGTCTCGTTTCGTCTCAGTTTCAATGCAGCCTTATTACTTTTTATTTTTTATTCAACAGCCCAGACCCAGGCCTATGCAGCCGCAGGCATTGTTCACGTGCTGGGTACCACCCACGCGCCGGACTCGCCCCGTTTACGCCGATCTCTCCGGCGAACGCAAACACCTAGGAGAGTCAAGTCGTCAAACAGCGAAAACGCTCCGCATCGACATCGCCGCGCAACTCAACAATGAGCTGCGATCTCGATATGCATTCAATACGCCACAGTCGCACTCGGAACGCTCGTAGGTGATGAAGGATAGGTTTTAATCGCCGGTGCTCATTGTTTTCGTAAAAAAACACGATTCGTGGGCACGCGGCGCGCATGATTTGCTCGAATCGGAAATATGTATGAGGCAGTGGTTGGCGTCGCCTGAAAAATCAACGCCTTGCATTTACTTCCAGTAAATGGGTTGTGTCTCTGCCCTTGCCCGGGCGGTGTCCGCGCGCGGAAAGTCAATTAGTATTTGTGCGGAGCGCCTGCAGGCGAACGCAAAGGGCGAGTATAGGTCGCTTGACGCTCGCAGGCTTTGTGCAGTCTCGACGGCGCCGGACTGATTTGTAATCAGTGTATAACAACAAACCGACAGCATCGACAGGGAATGATTAATTTATTAACCATACTTGTTGTTTCAAAAGTTGCATATATTCCGTGCAATTGTAGCCAATAATAGCGGTTATGATATTTTAACTAAGTATTTACTCTAAAGAACATTATTATTACCTCTTAAGTCACGTTCCTACATTGATGTGGCATTCTCAGAAACTGTTTCGGTTTGTTGTGATAAGAAAAGCATTGCATGACTGGTTGCAGTCAGAATTGTTGCGCTCGTGCGCTTCGCGCATGAAAACCGACTTAAGTGAGTGACGCCTCACATGCAGAATGAAATTAAAATCGAAGGAGTAAGCGCGCCGTCGTGTTTAAAGCGGTCCGCGACCGCTAACGAGCAGCCTAGTCGGTCGTTTTCTTCAGCGCGTCCGATTATGACGGCGCTGCCGCTGACGGATGGATCGGCACCGGCACACGGCGATGTGGGCACATTCGTAATGACTATAATCTTACGCTTAAATGAGTCAGGCCTCTCGCGCGCGCGGCTCCACCGCCTAATTCCTCGCCGCATGCGGCATGCGTTTTCGAGTTAACGCTCCAACACCGGTAGCACTTCAGTCCTTACGTGTCTACCACAATTGCCCACTACCACATTACGTAGAAATCACGTCCCAGGTGCAATGCAAGCTGAAATTAAAAACATAATTTCATCTCGCGTCCAATTTACCATGTCTTGATCTTGAAATTATCATAATTTGTCAGGCATAAGTCAAATTAAATCGGATCAAAAGATTTGAAGTCATCTTGACGTCGGAATAATTGAATCGTTTGTAGCATTGTTTTATATTCAAGTGCTTATACACAATAAACATGGCAAGTTTTATTTTTAGACAAAGTCGGTCGAAATCAGAAAAGGGTGTTCCAACAACTAAACTACAACCACTGCGGAACGAATGAAACAAAGAGAAAAGAAGTCCGTATTATAAATTCAAAGAGTCGTTTCGGCAAAATAAATATTAGCTCGCTAGACTATACCGCTCTCTAAGTGGAGAGAAAGGATGGATGGTTGCAGGGTGCGTTCGGGGATGAGAACGGGAGGAGTGAAGCGAAAGGATAGATGGGTTATTTTGCTGCGGGATGAACGCGGCGCGGTGCTTTCAGTATATTACCATGCTTAAATGCACTCGCGTCGTTTGGCTAAGCTAGACTCGCCATAACGCAAAGAATGAAATAGAACGTTTACCAGCACGTCGGAGGCGATGTATAGGAGAGCGGATCTCGCACAAATTTAGGTTTTCAATTAGCTTGCGCAAATATATACCTTAGTTGGGAAAGTCTTTATTCTGCATGGAAACGTTTGTGGCCCTCAAACACGACCGATGTGACTTTCTTTAATGATGGCTCACAGCATACGGTATACTTTTCTTCAATTACCATAATAGTGATATCCATTTGTTTGAAAGATAAAACACCAGAGTGCGTATTTGCATTTTGATAGTTTTCACATTGTCTACACATTAGTCTTGAACTAATTGCGCGCTTGGATTGTTTGCTTAAAACACACTGTATATTGCACAAGTTGTGAACATCAAGTCGACCTTTTCTGCACATGTATCAATTTATCAATCTATTTAATATTATACCCAGCGTAATGTACGAATGTTGTATTTTGGGCAGCATGTGCCATGGCAATAGCGCCGATGGTCCTGATTGTAGATATCGACAGGTAATTACACCTCATCCCACATAGCATTTACCAAACCTGGGCATATACTACTCTTGCTCAAGCCTGCGATGCAAACAAAGGTACTCGACATATGATGTTTCGGGCACAGACTGAACCTGCCGGCTGGCTAACCGATCGACCAACCACCGAGGTCAATAATTGCAAAATGCCGAAAATATTTAAATTTACCACTACACAATACTATACTATAACAATACGAATAATAAGACCAAGCGTACAATCAGAGAATTCGATTTACTTCAAGCGATTTGGCTTGACCAAATGTCTGCTTTTTGTGAAGGCGTTGGGCGTACATAAAATCAATGAGAATTAAATATTCAAAACTAAATTGAGAGAAAAAAAAATAATTAGGATGAGATGCTGTCAAAATAATACCAACTAACAAATAACAGGAATATTATAGAAATTAAATTGTTGTTTAACTTTTCCAAGTTTTATTTTGACTAGTTTGACAAGTGTGGGCGCTTCAATAAACAATATAACAATATTCGCAAAACGCAAACATTTAATTTATTTCGAAATTGCAAAGCTGGAAATTAAACAAATTACCAATCGCGGAATCAAACGATTACTGAATATTCAACATTCGAAATATTATTAATCCCTATGTGCACCGAGCAAATAATGAATTATTTACATGTTTATTAATTATGCGCCGTAAATATAATGCCAAATTTAACGAGTTCTGTCCGCAGGCCAGCGGTGGTGCACAACGATTTCGTCCTGTCATCCTTTCGCCCGGTGAATGCACCGTGGCTCGTATTAGGCTCGCCGAATGCACAAAGTTCCTGCTAAAATCAATGAATGTAAGCGAATTAATTCCTCTGAACCAATTATGTGCATTCAGGTTTATTGGGCATTATTAATATTGGAACTGGACCCGATGAAATTTAATAACATTGCATAATTATTCCAACTAAACTCCTGCACTAATCATTTTTGAAATTAAATTCGAAAATTTAATTAAATTAATTTATTGAAGTAAATTTCAGCAGATTTTAAATCAAAGAATATTTGTTTGTTTCTATCATTGTTCACGTCAAACAAATTTTACTTTCACTCGATTTTAACGACTTAATTTGATGAAAAACATTCAATCGTGTTAGTATTTACACTTATTTGCTCGTTGATTCTCTCAGATAGACGCCGGATCTCACCGTAATCTCGTGCGCACATTGCGTTTATAAATCACACTCACAATTCGTTGTGATTGAGATAAATCTATAAGAATCAACACACATTCGCGGCGCGATGCGTTCGAGTGCGCGCCGTTTCGTCGTTAATAATATGGACGCGGCACGTACAGAATTTTTATTCTTGCCATGGGAATATTTTCAGTTTTGTGCCCCGGAGGGCGATTGCCGGTCACGCTGATGGACGGTCGATCACGAGTTGGGCATCGTGGACCGACGGTGTCGTAGATGCCCTCGGAGCGATTCATTAAAGTGATAAAAATGGCGGCATTAATAAACAAACGATATATGCAACATTAATGTCGTAAAAAATTGCAACCCTTAAAAGATCTTAGTCAGTTTTTTATTGCCAACGAAGAGATTTAGATTTTTTTTAAATACAAATTAAAAATTTTAAAATTATTTTTTTATAAATTTTTAAAATATATAAATAAAATACGATGATATTTCGCTGTGGCTTTTTCGCGTGACTGGGCGAAATTAAGTAATTTTTCCTAGGGAAAGCGCCAAAGCCACACCACCTCGAGCAGAACATCAATCGTCGTCAAATATCGCATATACGTCGTAATACTTTGCGGGTTGTATAATGTTTAATGCATCATCTGTCAGTTACACTCGTGCCGCATGCGCCGCAATGTAGAATGCGAGTACGAAAATAAATTCGAACATTTTCTCGATTCTCCCGCGTGCAATTGACGTGCCGCTGGGAGATGCGTTCGGCATTGCTCGCTCATTGTCAAAAATCGTGAGCGCTCGACTCGTACTCGCACTCGTCGAAAATCCGTTTTGTGAATGTGTTTAGTGCACATACCGCACATGAGCAGTGTGCGAGATTGCGATGATTATGATAAATTTGCCGTTTTAATACGACCAGCGTTTTCCCATGTACTACATGTGCGCGAAGACGTCTCACGTCGCGAATTAAGGGACGAAATCAACTTCCAATGTTTACATCTACAGACATTTCATTTTGTTATTTATCATTATAGTTCAGTGTATGTTTAATTCAATTAAAATGTTTAAAATTGGATTAGTTGCTTTGCCAGTTGTGATTCTAGCGCAGTTAAAATGCTGCATACTATTTAGTCAATTAGGAAAATTATACCTACATTGCATTACAGCTGTGTAATTTTAAACATCAACAGATTATCACTAGTAAAGAATAAAAAAATAAAACAGAAAGTTTGAATGTTTCAAATAAAACCGCATAAAATACAATATTTCTCATTCCTGATGAGTAATTTTGCAGTAGTTTTAAATGAAAGAAACAGTAATCTACTTAATACTTTGATATCTTTACAAAATAAACTATTGAATATTATGCAAGAAAATATTCATCGACTGACATGCTGATATCAAATTACATACATAATTCAATGCAATCATTATCATCCTGCATAGCTTGTGCAGTAGTAATCTCATTCGATCCAACTCTGCTTCTTCGCATCATCCGCATCATTAAGAGCATATGGGATGACGAAGTGTTAATGTAACCCGTTCGTTATTGCACTGCAGCAAGCATGTAGAGAAAACGACAGAAAGACAGTTATCCTTTCGGCGTCGATCTCTCGATCCGATAGTAACTCTCCGATCAAGTCCTTGAATGCAATGGCAGGCGTCATATGTTCAAGTTGATCCTTACTTGGAAGTCTATTCTTTTGAAATTTTTATTAAACGCAGCGCAGCGGCAGAGTGAAATCGCTTTAAGTTTGCTTCGCTTCTGTCGCGCATTATTCCTGTTTATGTTACTGCCCGCTGCATGCCATCTGCTGCAGGACTGATTAGTCGCCCCGGGGGTATTACTGCAGTCCGCATACCAAAAAAGTAACTCAACTCGATGACCAGCATCCGAGTGTGATGGTATTTTTCTCGCGCGTCATTCGCTTCGAACAATTTTCGAAATAATCATAAATTTCAAATTCCGCGTCGCATGAGTGAATTATTAAGTTAGGCGCGAGGATTATTACATTGATCTGAATTGCACGTGTCGCACGCGTCGCTCATGTGTCATTCGAAGTTTGAAACTCATCGCCAGACGCGTTTGGCGCCGGCAGACTTGTTGGATCTCTCGCCGTGTCTAATAATCGCCGTGCAAGTTACGCACGCCGACCGCCAACTGGGGGAGTAGTGCACGTACACTCCACTTGTGCGGCCAGCGTCGAGCTGGGGGTGCAATTTGTTGAACATATTGGACGGACGGCTGATATGAGCCATCGTTTGTGAGCATTACGTTGTTGCAGAACAAGCGAATGAGTTGAGAGAGACTGCGTTGTACAAGCAGTAGCCCGCCGGCGTCCGCTGTCAGCTTGCTGGAGCGTCGAATGTGCGTCTGCCCCGTGTGTATTTGCGATCACGTACATCTCTCTTTCAATACATACATTATACATACATAAGAAGGCAAGATGTGGAATAACTATACGGTTTAACCAATTTTGACAAATATTGGCACAATTTAATCAGCTTACATAACATTAACTTCAACGAAACCTTTAAAATCATTTAATATAATTTATTATTACTGAGAATAACTCGACTTTTCGTTTGGCAGTTATTAAATCAATCAATTAACGCATGTTCAACGAAATTCAATAAAATCTAATGTTGTTCATAAATTCCAACAAGAAAGTTTGGAAAAAAACACCGCGTTTGATGGCGCCACATAAGTTAATCTTTCGCCATGATCACAAACACTTCTAAAATTGAAAATTCTTGAATATATTATAATTATTATAAGTTGGCTCATCAGATTCGTATAAATGAAAAATGATAGTGATGACATTTGAAATATTAACAACATATTCTCCTAAACAGTTTCTTATAACATTTGTTTTATGATTTTTCGATTAATGTTTAAAACCATAAAATCTAAAACTTTTATTTGTGGTTTCGATAACGCGGAAGATTATTTTTTTTATCTTAATGTGCCATGTGGTTCGGTTATTTTCAAATGACATGTGCTCGGTAACTAAGCAACGGTGGCGTCTTTGTAGTTTCCAAGCGCGTTCGTTCTTTTACTTTACATTCAATTGTATAGAAACACATGTTCAAAATATTGTCAGTTGCGAAACAAGTTTCAACTCGTTATTATTGTTGTATTTTTTATCATATTATGATTGGCAAAACAATGAAATTCGTATTTACCTTTTGGGGCACGTAGGCTCCAATGCGCCGACTGGTCCACGATTCTCCACGGTGGCTGAAATTTTGAAAACTGCCGGCGACACTCGTAATCAACACAAAAATATGATTTATTTATAAACAAAATAATCGATTTTTTTGTTCACTCGTTGATTAATTTTGTTAGAGTATGTTGTGAGTGTAAATTATTAATATGTTTGTCAATGTGCGCGCAAAAGTATTAAAAATGCAGACCGGTTGAGGAGAGAAACGTGACCAGCCGATGCCACAACAGCGAGGATACTAAGTCGGCGGAGTCAACGTGGTCTCTCCGGGCTCCGGCGCTCCGCCACTCTCGCTTGCACGCCGGCTGCAAGCGCAGCGCGGAGCAGTGTACGCGTACGTACGGATTGAATGCTCGCCGGCTGCGCCTAAAGCCTCCAACCACAGTGCGCACCTCTTTCTCTCCTTCCTCCGCGTTTCTTTTTGTTCCCTGCTTTTCAGTGGGTTAATAATCCTGCAGGCGTGTATGCTCGCTAGGTAAGTGCCATTGCCATGTTTAAGCTCGGCTACGCCAACGATGCTAAGGCGCACCGAGAACAACTCGAGTGATAAAAATTGACTTCTTGCGGAGGTTGTGCTGTGCCAAACAGAGCAAAACAACCATGATTTACAATCAATTGACAATTAAAACGCTAATAATCGTGTATCACAAGTGATTATCGGTGTAATATCATTATTTTGAGGCAAATTTCACTAAAATTTAAGATTTAAGAATGATTTAAGTCATTTTTACATAAATTTACTAACTAATTATCAACTTTATCTTTAAAATATTCGGTTACCATTTTGATTGAACAAAAAAACTTTTTTTTTTGACTGACGCATAGAATATTTAACATAAATAAAAATTTATTCCGGCCCGAGTGGGCCAGAACTAAAACTCTTGGTTTTTGTATATAGTCCTGTGGGCATACACCCATATACGAGTACCTACACCTTGGTATCGAGCTGGCAAACCGCGAGCATAATGTTGGTTGTGTACAATATACACGGCGGCGCGTACCCAGTGCGCCACGGAGTTTAACTTCCGGCGATGTTTCAACGGTTCCTAAGGGACTCGCCTCGTCAAGAACTGCATTATACTATTCCCGCGTACGTATAATAATTTCGCCGCGAACCATTCACTCAGCGCTCACCTGTGTATATGCCCGCTGTGTTTCTGTATAGTGTATCATGCCATTAGCCACATTCAAAACGGCAACCCACCGGCCCCACCAGCCCCATATCGAACATGCGAATAAACCGAACGAATTCAACTAGTCTGCCGGCGGCGGCGGCGATCCGCTGCCCCGGTCACAATTGCACTTTGCATAATTTCATTTTTACCATGTAGGTATTTCGATTGACATCCACTGCTATTTGATGATTTATTGTTTGGTTAATTTTTGCAGTAAAAGTTTCATGTTTGCTTGTTTCGGATGTGTTTTATTTTAAAATAATACATACAATTTAGTTCATTTACAAATTGTGTTATTGTTTTGATGCATTGTTTACTATAAATTTAAATACCATATGAATAGCTATCATTGATGCAAATTTTAGAGGTTATGATAGTTTCCTGTGTAATATTGCTTTGTTCGGTTGATTGTCAATCACTTGTTGCATTTGAACATTTTTATTTCAATTTTTCGTCGGACAATTGTAATTCTTGCCTACGCATTCAACCATTTTCACAATTCCATAAAATTGTAAAATTAACTTGATAAAATGATCAGAAGATAATATTTCCACAGTGTATATATTGCATTCTTTATATCACTCGGTACATAATGTACTATAGAGGGTAAAATTATAGAAATCGCGTACAGTTTCAACTTTACGTCGAAGGCAACACGACGCAATACATAACCTGAGGTAGATAGAGATAGATTCAATGCTGGAGGGACTCTTGCGAAATTATGAAACGCGAAATGAGGTCGGCCGGATTCGCCGGCGGCGAGTCGGCCCGCGGGCAAACGCTCCGCTCGGCGCAGCCAGCGTCGACCCGAACGAACGCGCCGGAGGCGTCTGTACGCCAGCCAGCGTACACCAGCGCACAAACCCCCTCGAACCACCCCGCCGAATGTTGCCGCACTTCACTCGCTCGCACAAAACATTATAAAACGTTAATTTCAAACGTTATTATTTGCTCTATGTCGAGCAACATATTCGCAGCCAAATATCGAAATGAATTTGCGAACACAACCGCATGCCAACAAGCCCGTTGCCAACTCTGGGGGATGATTAAAAACGTTCGCAAATGCTACAAATGTGCGGTTTGATAATTTCATACAGTTAGATTTGCCTGCAAGTATTTCTATTCATTGTATGAGTGCAAAAATGATGAATGCTGCTATCGAAAAACTTAGAAAAATGTGTTGTGTGTTGCCTATAAAACGTAACCCTAACCAACTTTTTGTATATTTTGGTACCTACCACAAAAGTAAAATAACTTTTTATGCCGTATTGTCCAAAAATTACCCTAGCATGATTAATTTATGCATTTTTGTTAACAACTCCCCAATAACAAATTGTTATATGTTGTTGTTAATAATCGTGTAAAAGTTATAAAATAAAAATAACCGCTTGGTATAAATTATGCGCATGACGCGTTGCACGTCCTGGTCAGGTTGGAAAATGCGAAGGCGCGCGCGGACTCGTTATTCATTATTCGTTATTTTCAGTTTTAGTTCGATAAATTCATTTCGTTAAATTTTCCGCGCCGCGAGCGACGTGGCCGGGCCGGCGCGCGCGCGCTGCCTGGAAAAAGGGTTAAATAGGATGCGCGTCTTGAACTGACGTGAAACTCGAAAAATAACCAAACAACTAAAACGCGATATGCCCTCGCGGCTTATAATATTCTACAATGCAGCGACGGCGGGAAACTCGCGCGCCACATTCACGCTCATTTCCATCTAGAAGCGGGCGCGCGCTAATCCTCCTTCAGCCACCCGTCGCTTTCATTCCGGCTTAATTTACTAGTCAGTTTGGTTCTTTAGCAGAAAAGTTACTGTTTTTATTGTTTTTTGCCTTATTTGTACTCGAGTATCAAATGCAGCACGTTTAAGCTCCGGCGGTTTATATTGCTGAGTATAAATCTTCGACGTAAGTACATTTCGTGGAAATTATGTTAAAGAAGTTACAAGCTTCAAGCTTCTAGTTGAACAATTGCACAATATATGCTTATAATTTACGCAGTATTGAATTATTAGTCATTTATAATTATTTGCGTGTGTAATATTTGCGTGAGCAGACATATTCAAGTAAATATCAATATCGTATCGCGTACTGTATTGCATTTGAGTATTCCATCAATTGTATCCTATTCTTGAATTCCACGAACGCGATGCGCGTCAGTTTGATTCGACAACGAAGTCGTCGAGGGCATGCGGCGCGGCGTTAGAGCCGTGATATAATATAGCGAAGAGTGAAAAAGAAAGGCCGCATTATAGCCAGGGAAACCTCCCAGGGTACAATCCCATGAGATAGAATGGAATTTAAACCTTGCCTGGAGGTGATCAAGCCGACAAAATACAAGAACACCCCGAGGGAAGCATATTTTACAGCACACCCAAACCACCCTTCGGGCAATCGCGCTCTCGCCCACTGCCCGCAGTGACCACGGTGTTTATATAAAATATACAAATTACAATGCGTCTCCGGCTCGCCGCGCGCGCCGTCGGATTTATTCACATATATATCTGTGCGTCCACGATGCTTCGACTTGTTGTGAATTCGTATCACATGCACTTGCATTTCATGCTTGCATTAAGTGCCATTGTGGTCTGGGAATAGCCAATCCGGAAGGGATAAGCCTATATGTGTTCTCGTTACTATAGTAATGTTTAGAAATTCACAACAAATATTTTTGATCATAAAATATTACAATTAAATTTTTATTTTTATTTTTTTCGTGCGAATAATCAAAACCCTTGGTATATAAAAAATTAAAAACCAAGTGAATATTTTTGGGATTGCAAATTACAATCCCACTGCCACCCAAACGATGCGCGATCCAACAGATTTGTTCAGCATTGCCAGACAGAGTAGTGGACGGCATCTTCGTCCAGCTTGATTTCTCACTTCAAGATCTTTTATTTCCGCTATCGGCAAAAAATAAATAACACGTGTTGTGCAAGCCCGTTTCATTAAACATGGGCGAATGAAAAATAATAATGGAATAAAAATGCTTGTCCGTTCACAACTCGCAAAAATGACCCACGCGATTCTTTAAATGTAGATAGATGTTGCCGTAAGCTAAACACAATGCCAATTATTATACGCTCAGACTTCAAAAAACGGCTCAGTTTATTAAATATTAAATCACTTTTAAAATGAAATTTATTTATTTAAATTTTCCTTTTTCTATTTTATTTTAATTGCAAAAAATATTTATTAATACGAATAATTTTTTATTACTATGTATTAATATTATGATTTTAAAAATTTGGTTTACTGGTAAATATTCGATATGTCCTTTGATTTAAGGACATTTAATATAGGCAACACAGGTTGCACTCTAGAAGGATCAAGCTTCTATAATAAGCTTCATGTTTGATAGTCGTATTTAAAGTGAATTAAACGCAACAATAAATACTTGTACTTTCAAATTATTCCTTCAATTTAAAAAAAAAAACTTTAAATTTGCATTGACAAACAATATTATTACACGGAACGGAACTAAAATCCAAATAAAAACTTAATTTTAAAAGGATTATCAAAACAATATTGAACTTGCAAGATATATTTATATATAACACATAATTTAACATTCTCTTAAAAGTACGTGATGGATTGTCAATCTTAAGCAAATATATTTAATATCGATTTACCCTGATTTAGCAAACTTAGGATAAAACTATTAAACATATTTTTATTTTATCACAGTTTTGCGATACCACTAACGTCTTCATCCCTAAAACGTTAGACTTATGAAAATATAACGGCTGTATAAATTTTATAGAATTAACAACTTTCGTTAATATATATGTATAGCATTTAAAAATTATTACTCGACAGAATCATCATTGATCATCATCGATAATATGTGGTCCGCAGTTTCATTTTTGTATAAATGCTCGTTATACCTATGAAAGCACAATATTAACATTTATATAAGCTTCTATATACAATAGACATTTATATATATATTTTCAAAATCTCATAAAATTGTTCCCATTTACTTGGGTTACAAGTAGTTATTGATAAGTTCTATTTAGACGAAGTGTTTTTTTAGGAAAACATACATAATGCAAACAAATTTCGTGGGAGGTCCACCCGCTCGTATCGACAAATAAAACACTCTCCAATAGTAAAAACAACATGTCGATTCACTCCGTGAGTTTAATTATCTTACATCATTTAAATTATACTCATCGTTCGCAATAAATTGGTGTCTCGGGTCAATATTCATTTACTAGATAATATTCATCACGCGCCATTATAACATAACATAAATATATTTAAGTTGTGTGCCATTGATACTCATGCTGGTGTTGAAATAATAACCTAGCGCATTTCAGAGAAAACCGTATTCATCTAAAAACTTAATAATAATTTACAAACACAAATGCATAATCGTCGAAACTGAACAAATTAATCATTTAACATAATAATAATTTAAAACATATTTTAAATTACTTTGATTGAACTAAATTTAGAAACTCTTCTCTTGTCTTGGGGTCATCCCTGAACACGCCCAGCATTGTCGATGTGACTGTCTTACTGTTAATTTTTTGTACTCCTCTCATCACCATGCACATATGTCTGAAAAATGAAGATAACAATAGATATAATTCCGATATAAATGATTATATTATATTAGTGATTCAAACAAATACTATAAATGTAAAAATGAGTTTTTTTGTATGTTTGATACGCTTTCACGCAAAAAACCACTCAACGAATTTAGATAAATCATGGTATAGGGAAATTATAATTTGAATCATGATAGAGATACTTACACTCCTTCGACAACTACAGCCACCCCTGTTGGTTGAACAGCCTTGGTAACAGCAACAGCAATTTGCTTGGTAAGCCGTTCCTGAACTTGCAATCGACGCGAATAAATTTCGACAATGCGCGCAAGCTTGCTCAATCCCAAGATTTTACCGGACGGTAAATACCCAATGGATACTTTTCCATAAAAAGGAACCAGATGATGCTCGCACATGCTAAACATTTCGATGTCCTTCACAACTACCATTTCGTCGTGCTCCTCGTCAAAAATAGCGTCGTTCAATACTTCTGCAAATACAAACAAAAATTAGTAATATTATCAAACATTTAATTGTTAAAATAAATCAATAGATAAACTCTGGCTGTGCCAAAGCATAAAATCATTATTGACCAACTGACGCTCTTAATGTCGATCAAACTCGTACTTCTCTCAAATTGAGGACACAAGCACAGCAGGACACACACATACAAGTCTATGAAATGCGAATGAAATTGTGCGTTCACCCTCCGATCCTACGATCTTCCAACGTATCGGCTAAATTGCCATTAAACTCAACTTGAGAGCACGTTACTATATTCGCGTTTATAATCGAATTTTAACCGAGAATATCGCTGCGACGTTGGATGCAACGATGACAATATCCGTCTCCGAGGACCTGTTGAATACCGTTGAGAATACGAACGGAATAGAATCATAAAAGTTTTTACCGAAGGCCTATTTCAATAAGAGACAAAAAGGAGAATATTATGATTTTGCAAAGGTTGAATTTTTTCTTTTGCAAGTTAAGCGCACAAAGCTCTGAACGGGTGACAAAGTGGATCAACGCCGACGCCGACAACCCGCCAAAAGGGAGCACAACTCTGGCGTTAATTTCCTCTTCGTTCGTTCAATTACAGCACTAATTAGGCGCACGAGTAGCGAAATCAGAGCTTCTCAAAATGTGCGGCAATAAAATCCAAGTTGAGATGTTTTAAAAGTTAAACATTTTCAATTACACCCATTTATAATTAAATAGGAAATGATGCAATACAAGTAAGTGTTACCAATGTTCACAATGTCAGGTGGCAAACATTCACTTTTTCTGTAATGTCGGAGAATGTATCGGTAAGCATATTTTTTACATCCACCAGAGAACAGAAAAAAACCACACGCAAGAGCTACAAGGAACTACAATTTCATACGAATCCTAGACGTATATAAACGATTGTTACAGCTAGAATGATTCAATATTACGTGTTGGTTACATGTGGCTTCTTGTGTTAACAAGGCGGCAATGCGAATAAAAATCACGCGGAACGGCCCCGCGCGTCGAGAGCAATTTATATCACAAAGCAGACTGAATATATGGACTAGTAGCAGAAAATCGGAATCTATAGAAATTGTGCCGTCTCCACGGTAACCGGCAGATCGTTTTAGATACGGCTTATTGCCTTCCTTCACCGGCTCACCCTTGTTCTTGTTCTTGTTCATTCAATGTCTTCGTTACATTCAAATACGGCCGATGATAAAAGCAGTGCCCTTCTAATATCGGCGGTCGGAAGCTTACGAAAAGTGCATGATTCTGGAACGATCACAGCCTTGACAATAGGATATAAATTATTATATCACCGCAATATTTCAGCGTGCGATGCGTGCCATTCTTGGATACAAACATTTTACGGCGTGTTGCGTAAGTGAGGTCTTTTTTTACGAGAGAAGAAAACTTTTAATCGACTTGGGATGAAATTTGAGTTGCGAGGGCTTAAAATGAAAATTATGTCCGGCGCTGAGTGCCGCACAATAAAAATCTCATGATTGATGTCTTTTTCACGCCCTCGGAATTATCCAGCAAAAAAGAAACCCTTGGTGCAACACAGTGTGTCACAAAATCAGGAGTAAAAGTCATTAATTCAATATCGTATGAAATTTCGCAGATTATTCGCACGTGTTAAACGTTTTTAGTCCAATAAAAACGTTTAGTGATGCAAAGTAAAACAGTTTTGACTTTCAAATGATTTTTTCGCTCTCGAATAACTTAGCATAGCACCTCGTAGGCCGTCGAGGAGGAGTAATAGAAAGAATCACTGAGAATCACGGAGACGCATTCAGAGATCGATTTATACATTAGAAGGGTACTAACAATGTGAGTCCGCGCAGAAGATTCGCACGCTCGCAGACCATTTTGAACGTTTTATTAGATAAAAGCCCCACACATGAAAAATTCAACAGGGAAACCGCGTATAATCAGAGCAGGCACTCGACAAAAAGGAAAATTACGAGCCAAGTGTGCGTACTTGCTTCGGCCAAGTCTCATTTGAAAATATAATTCTCATTGTTCTCTTTTTGCTGAGTTTTCACTTGAAAAATTTATTTCACGTTTAGTAAATTTTAGTTTTGAACTTACCTTCTAGACTCTGATCGTATCCTTTGGTGAAAAAGAGCATTGCTTTGGCAGCTCTTTCCGGCGTCTTTAATAAACCTTGTCGCTCTGGGTTTTCACCCAAAGAACTCAACAACAGCTTGTACGATCGCGACATTTCCGGTAACATGGCCTCCCTGGTTGGCGGTCGATGGTCGAGTTCCAAATCATGGTGGAATGTGCACTTTTCATGACCTAAAACATTAAAACATAAAATCTTAGATATTTGTACGGTGAATTAAGTGTATGCAACAACAAATGCATGTAATTATGCGTGCCGAAGAATTTCATACTCTGTATAACGTCCCTGAAATATTTTCGCGTCGTTCCCTAGTTCAATCGGTCATTTAGCCGCGTTTACAAGAAAAATGTCTGCAGGTATTTATTAGCTTCATATGTAATCAATGAAAAATACTCGCCGAAGTTCGTTTATTCGTGGCAAAGTACTTTAAATGTATTTACCTTGATCTACTCTAATGTCTCCGACATTAAACTGGTTTTGTGTATGGCAATTGCCACCGTTTGTCCCATAAGTATTAGAGGAGCAATGACAGACTATCAAGAAATCGATTATTATTGTATTAACAGCAATTAATTAATAACTCGGCGCGAGTTTCACATTTTTATACAAAATGCATTTATCCTAAACGACACCTGTGCTGTAATGAATGCTCGGCTCATGTTGGAATGGTTTCAGTGTTAATTCGCATTCATATGTAAATTAATTAATGCTTCGTGGGTAGGTACGTTTAAATGACATACTCGCTAAATTCCACAGAAGGCCAACATGCGAAATGTGTAAAATTATATTAAATATATTTAAAAGTGTCGAAAGTTTTAATGTGGAAAGAATTGTGCAATGTAATAGATTACAAAGTATTGAGTATCAGAGTTCACGCCAAGTCGAAATTCGCTATCAAAGGGCGCACTAAATTACGTCAAAACGTCAAAAGTCAAATAAACAATTCCAGATCGCTGTAAGTGAATAATACGTCATACACATGCAAAGTTTACCAAAAACAGAACTAAATGATTCACCTGGTGTTTTACAAGATCTGGGTGTTTTCGGCGTTCCGGGAATTTCAATGTCGTCCAAAGTTTCCGACCAGCGTCTCGGCAGTATCGCCGGTGGTTTCGCACAGATTTTATTACTTCCGACACCGTTCTCGCGCGTATCGCCGTTTATCTTTTCCATTGCGCCCAACCGAACAACAAAAAAACTATCGAACTCAACACGAAGAATGCACACAATATGCACGAAAGCAATTAGGTCTTTCTCTCTTTGTCAGCACCGCGGCGACGACGGCTACTAATTATAATTGTTATGTAAACAGCCGATTACCGATACGAACGTTAGCAAACAAATAAACACGCACGATAGGCTGACAGGCTGGTGTTATAAATGATTAAAATTCTTTTATTGAACGCGCGTGTGGTTGACGAGGAAGAGTGTCACTTTTTCCTTTTGCGCGACGTTTTCATTTGTTTCTAGTTATAAAACACAATTGAAAATAGCGAAAAATCCTGTTTGGCAGAATTATTCGGCGCGAAACACTGCTGGCAGGACGACGGACGCGTAATGATCGCTTCGAACGCGAACGCACTTTATATATTGCACGGCGATATCATCCAGTGCGCCACGCACACCTTCGTCGGTCTGACTGGCTTACGAGTCGATTCACATCTAGATTTTATATACTACGTTGAAAGCCCGCCGTCGGACTGAATGATCGCACTGGGCATGTCTCGATTGTCGATTGCTCCCGCTTTAGAGATAATATCGTCAAGCTCCGGCTTGGCAAAAGTCTTTTCTAATTCATCTCATTATTTAACATAAGTAATACTAATAATAATCAAACAAAGCGTCACGTGTTGATTAGATTATTTTATAAACATTATCATCTTTATCCTGTTAGGTGTCTGGCGTGTTATGTATTGTTTGAGCGGAACGCGTTCACCAGAACTAATCATCGATTTAAATTATATGTTTTAATTAAAAATGACCACAGATGTGGAATTTACTCGACACGTAGGTAATCGAAACAAAAACTGTTTTGTAAACTAGTTTACGACAGCCTTGATCGTGGTGCGTTCTAATGCCAATCACAATTTATATTCGTACAAATGAATTTAACCAATATTTAATCGTTGTGATTGATTAATATTTGCATAGAGTCATTAACATCGAGATTAGTTCCTTCCTCGATGAGTACCGCAGACCCTGAGATACATTTCTAGGTAACTGTGAAGGTTTTTATGTTTAGGTGTGTGTATGAATTTCCTAAATTGGTTTAGACACCAGAAATACTAATGCAGTTATTAATATCTTAAAAACTAAAAGTTAGAAGAACTGATTGTCTGGTTGCATAATTAATCTGAGAATAACCCAGAAACTATGCAAATTGTCATGCATAAATAGGTTATACTTGTTTTACAAGATAATAGTTAAATTTTTACAATTATTTAAATTAATATTATCACACATTCAAATATGAATAATAATTTTATTAATTTGTTTGTTCTCTGCAAATAGATAATTTTTTAAACATGATTCCTTATCAATAGCTTGCTTAAATTTTAGTTGTCAAAATTTTCATGAATTTACGCAAAACTGGCATACATGAACATAATTCTTAATATTTTAAACGATATCATTAAATAAATGGTAAAATTGACTGTTTAATAGCTACTTTATTTATTTATTTAGTGATTTACTTATTGTCAAATATGCCTTTCTTTTATTTTTATAGTTTAAATAATTTGACATTTCATACCTGCATTATCTATATTTTCTTCCGCCATATTGTACTATAGACTTTTCTTATACACAACTAATCACTAGCGAAACCAAACAATTCTGTTGTGAGATGATACTGAATATATACCTATATTAAATCCACGCGCTTGTTTATCAATCTGTTTATCAATCATAAATCCGGTTTAACTGGCAATCAAAAATAACCCTTCGATGTTTTTTTCTAACGCCTCCAAAATGCATGGAAAACCCAAGGAGTACATTGATTTGCAGCTTTGAATTAATTTGATCTCGATTGTAATCAAAATTAATTACGTCTGCAACCTACAGCAACGCAACAAACGCAACAGTCCTATCATGAATAAGCAGAAAGCAACGCAATGAAAAAACGGCAATAAGTGCTAATAGTAAATGTTAAAAAATTAAATTCATTACAATAATGAATGATTTACATTCAACTATCTATAAAAACGTCAGAATTGATTGACGACTTGTTCAATGCATTAATACGACAAAAACAAAAGATCGCCATGTATCATAATTAATGGGAGTCGTTAATTTAAATTAAGTGTAAAATAAAAATGCAAAAAAAGCAAAACGTAATTAAATCGCTAATATTGTGGTGTAATGAATGAATCAATGAAGAACAAATGTACATTGCTGCGTCTAAGTTGTAATTAATTACGTGTAATTGCTTAAGTTGCCATGGCACTTGTTTAGATGGCATGAAAGCGAAATGCACACGTATGTCCGAGTATCAAGGTTATATAGATCATATTTAGTTTGTTTTTGTTTGTTTTCGTTTCGATTTAAGCACAAAAATTGACGCAAATCGAAATTATTTACACGACACGCATAATTGCACAATGTTTTAATAATATTCATTGATTTTAACAAAAATAATTTAACAATAGTTCAACTCACCATTAGACGTACCATTTGTCCCATTGGTATGTCCATTCAAAGTGGCAATAACACCGTTTTTCTTGAGGTTTCCTTCTTCTTCTAACTTGTTATTATTGCTGCTGGATACAGCACCATTGCACTTTACTTCTTTCATTTTAACTGGTGTTGAATAAGAATTTAATTCGACGATTACAATGAGAGTTTTATTCAAACTGAATAATTATAACAAACGTATCGTGTGTTTTATTTGTACATCAAGTGTGACGTAGCAGAGTGGCATTGACTCCCTCCCAATAACGACCAAAAAGTTATTCACACGTGCAACTAATAGATGTTTCTGCAGAGCAGTGCAAAATATGAACAAAAAGACGGAATGAAAGAAATTGCGAATGAATCCCTGGTTTTAACCATTTTAAGCTCAATTGTATGACTCAATTTTTAAGAACTAGCAATATTATTAATCGTAAAGTTTATATTTTTCATAAAATAAATATTTATAGTTGTTTCTTTTACATCTTTTAAAGTAATCAAAATTTGGCAATAATTATCCCGTTGCAGTTCTATAATTACTTTGACAATATGTAATCTATGCAAATTGATTCCCTTTAATATATTTAAAAATAATATTTGTTCTTTTATATCTCTATAAATAAAGTTATTCAAATATATAATTTATTTACAAGACAAAATGATAAGACACTATCTTCCTGTGCGCATCCTTCAACTTTATAGCAGTGCATTTAAATGTTAATTCAAAATACAAAATATGTAAATGCATTGTGATATTGTATCAACTTGTTGCTACCTGTTCTAAAAATGAAAAATAATTAGCACTTAATTGATTCTAGACCTCTCCACAATAAATAATTAGCGTGTCAATTAATATGGGTCAACCTGATTTCGGTACGACAATTTAATTCAGGCATGAAGGTTGCTTTTCTTCACTTTGCAAAATAGTTGTAGCCTCGCCGGGTTTAATAAACCATTAAATTAGCCGCTCGCTGTTCTATTTCTTATCTGAATAATAATAACAAGAAATTATCGGCTACATGCTCGCGTTGACATTGATTCACATAACATTGAATTGTTCAACGGCCCTATGATATTCTATCGATACCGTCGCGGATTTCATTTGCATATAAACATTGGCCACACTGGTTCACAATGACACCGGCGCAGAATGCGTGTCTTCCTGGTTTGCTTCTCTTGATCTAGTTATGGTTCGTAAATATTTTATTCTATAATAACTAATTCGCTTTCAATATTGGCACAATCATTTGATTGAGTGAGCATGCTGGTATTTTTCTCTGTGCACCAAGGTTTTAAACACGAACGCACTTTGGAAATTCATCGTGTTAATATGGTAAAACCGTTAACCGTGACCACACTCTTCAGTGGGTTATTCTGTTTCAATCAAGTGTAATTATTGTTTCCATTGTCGCATGCTACTAACTTCCAAGGAGTCACGCATTCTTAGTATTCGGATTAGAGATTGGCCAAAAATGATTTAAATTTACCAAAAACCCAATCACTTAAGATAAATACATACTGGATGATATTTTAATTCGTTTAATTAAAAATTTCCAGTTAAATCTGTTAAATATTTTAGATAAGTACTTTAAAATTTAACAATATACAACGGAATTTAACACTTGAAATAAACTAGAATAAATTGTAATTCGCAGTTACTTGAATATAAAACGTTTTAATAACTTTATTTAATTATGTCGTAAACATTTCGGAAAATAAAATTGTAATGTGGAATCGATGGAATGTTGTTTTACCCCTACATGGCAAAGGTCTGTAAATTACTGTTACAAGCCATTACCGTAGATAAAATTGACAAATGGAATATTATTATCTAAATATTGTAATGTTTCTTTATTGCTTTGTATTTTATTGGCGTTCTAATATATTTCGACTTGGTCGTATCCGTCACAGTTTTGCGCTATAATCTAATTCTTCTTCATTTTCAAATAATTTTTAAAAATTTTACAAGTATATTTCGAAAACCTAGTTAATAACAACCAACATATAATCAAAAAAACTTTACATACTTTACGTTTAGCGTTTATCACGCTAATTCTACAGGTATTACTGTTTCGAACGCAGTGAACCTATAAAAATCTCGAAATACTTTTGTGAAGTCGTACATGTATCGCCACCTACCGGCCAATACTTTAAATGATAACACCGGCTTATTATTTTTGATTACGCGGTAAACTCAATGAATCATCCCAATAAAATTTTAAGTGAAATACAAACAAACCAAAGTCTGTTCGCATTATGAAAAGAAAAATTCACAGGTAAAAATAATTTTCTAATTTTATAACACTAGACACTAGACCCTGACGATTTTGCGCACAAAATTAGCGCATTGCATAAAGTGAAAGAAAACAGTGCGGTTTACGTGACATGTGTTAACGAGCCGTCGATGCCGTCTATGGTCTCAACGAATTTTCTCTGAAAATCTTGGACTTACAGGTCGTGCTCCTGCCACCTTTTGCTCATCTCAGCCGTCTGTAGCAGCTTCTCACCCTTTCTCATCATTGCTTAAATGTCAAATGTCAAGTTAGGATTCCTGAGTGCCCCGCGCGCCCCGCGTACCCCGTGTGCCCTACTGACGTTTGAGATCTATTTCTTGGATGCGGTTGAATCACACTCGGGAAAGTGTCTGTGTCTCGATTGTGTAGGGAAATCCCCGCATCGCCACGACCACAAAATTCGTTGACCATACTCGTCATCGGCGCTCGTACCAATGACCTGTTGTTAGTTCACGCACACAAACCTTCTTTGTCTGATTTGTATGCTTTTGTTTATTTGCAGCTAAAATTTTCAAAATAAATAATGTAAGTAGAAGGACTATAGTTACACTTTGCATGATATTTTGGGTGTTCTGTCATTGTAAAATTAGTCTAAAATGTTTGTTATACCTTTCTTTCAATATGTCTCAATGTTCCAGAATGTTTTCCAATGGAATCACTTGTAACTTACCATTCAGCTGTATGAATGCCCCTCGAGATTCTGGCTCTGATGAGTTGATCCCTAATAAAATGGCTAGAGAACCAGTCATCCTCAATGTTTATGATATGTACAAAATTAATGATCTAACATCAAACATAGGTCTAGGTGTTTTCCATTCTGGTAATTAAATAATTTGCTTACTCTCTTTGAATTCTGAATAATTCTTATCTACTTTTAGGTGTTGAAATCTATGGAACTGAATATGCATATGGTGGACATGCCTGTGCCTTTTCAGGTATTTTTGAAATAATACCTAGAGATGAAAAAGATCTTGGAGATCAATTTAGATTTAGGTATACATACTTCCATTTAATTATAAATGCATCCCACTTCAAATATTCTTTATTCTATAAAGTATATGTAGATTATTGCTTTATGGAACCTTGAGAATTGTAGTTATGTGGACTCTACACGATTTTTATATTGATTTGACTGTAGTGCATTTTATAATTTGTACGATAGTATTGAAAAGATAACCTTTTGTTGCAGACAAAGTGTTCATATTGGTTACACAGACTTTACAGAAGAAGATGTGAAGCGTATTATAGTGCAATTAGGAAAAGAGTTTCGTGGCGATCGTTATCACCTTTTAAATAATAATTGCAATCATTTCTCTGGATCTTTCACTAAGGTACTCTATTTTTGTGTTAGATTCAGGAATGTAAAACTTCTGCTTTTTGTAGACTTTATGTGGAGTAGACATACCATCCTGGGTGAACCGTCTTGCATATTTCAGCAGTTGGGTTCCTTTTTTAGAAAAGTGTTTGCGTAAGGAGTGGCTAATGCCGATGGCGTTACAACACACCCTCAGCAATCACTGTCCAGAATCAACATGTTCGGAAGCATCGACGCCGCAATTTTAAACGTAAATATATCGGATGCCAAAAAGTTCTTATTATTATAAAAAGACAAACAGACAATTGAAGCCGTTCGCGTCAAATTGTTCTAAAAATACCTATACATTTAACATAAAACGCGGTTAATGTATTTTTCTTTTACGATTGCGATTCATTGAGATTTAACTGCGTGTGTGATTTAATTTAAGACAAACGCAAGTACACACGTATTTACGCAAATATTTCACTTCCATATTTGTATACCAATTTACTAAACAATCGATCAACAAATGCAACAAATATCTAGAACAAATGAGTATCAATGAACTAAAGAAAAACAAACATATTCTTGTATTTATTAATTGTAGATGATAAGCATGTATATTTATTAAGGATTGTTACATAGAGGGCCTGCACACCAAAACAAAAAGGAGAGCCTACAAACAACCAAAATAAGCTTAATATGCTAAGGTTTGGTTAGTACATGTCTGAGCATTGTTTTGAGCACTGAGGATATTTATTTCGACTTTCGAGATTAGTTACGAGTATTTCAAATGATCTTAATTTGGTACCAATGTTAAAAGACTGTATGAAGGCGATGCTATTATTAATTCCTCTTTGTGTTCTCCAATGAGATTGTAAAGCCTTTGATATTTTAATTATATTATGTATTTTAAAACTGGGAAAACCAAAGTATTTTACACGTGCGTTGAGATTAATTCAGTTCGAGCATTTACTGACAATAACATCCAAAACTGAATGCATAAGTGCATACAATTGTTATTTGATTATCTACAATTAGCGATTAAGTACGCCTGAACGTTTATTAAAATGCGCAACGTTTTTATTATAATCATGGATGATCAACGTTATATTTATATTTACCAGGCATAAAATGAAAAAAAAAACGAAGTGTTTGTGATTTAGAATCTTTAAAAAAATAATTCATTGAAATATGTACGTCTTTCCATTTCTCCTTGTTGTGTGCCTTCTTTTTTCTAAATGTATAGTAGACTATTTAAATTCGTTGACCCAATCATTACACTTAATATTTTCTTTTAGAAAGTTGCATTGTAAATAATATTAAAATAGAAGAGGTCACTCGGGGTACAATGACGCTGTATTTGGGAAGACGCAAGCTGCGTCCAGTCAGCCGTTCCTAATGTATCATTATACTAAACGGTGTGACAACTAAAAACCGGAATTTTTGATCGGGCGGATCGTCTACCTTATTCTACCTACGCACACCCTAAAATTCATCGCTGGCCGGAGAAGCCACCAACAGTCCGTACAATGTGGATGTTCGTGATCGCCATTGTCATACTACTGTGTTATTTGGTTTACGTGGACATTAGAAAACCGAAAGATTATCCTAAAGGTCCGCGATGGTACCCCATTATTGGCAATTACACTCAGGTTTCCAAGGAGTTGGAAAAACAAGGATATCATCACAAAGTATGGATGGAATTTGCCAACGAATATGGTAATATGATTGGTTTAAAAATGGGAACAATGCTACTGGTAGTAGTCAATGGCGTCGATTTGGTACGTGAAGTTTTGACCAGGGACGAATTTTCTGGCCGTCCTGACGGTTTCTTTTTCAGACTACGCACTTTCGGAAAACAGATAGGTACGTGGTTATTTTTACACGTTGAATTTTGTTTTATTATCGTAAGAAAAGTCGATGTTATTGTTAAAGTCGTAAAACTCTTGGGGCCTTGTAATTTTTTTTAGATGTAATCGGTACTAAATTACTTATTCTTTGTTTTTGTTCATTTTATTTGAAGCAGATACTTTTTCGAATGAGTGTTTATTGAAAGAGTTGGTACTTTCAGATCAAAAGTTTTGTTAATTTTATTGCACGCGTGAGTAAACAGTTTGTTTTTAATCTGCGCATTGAGAGATCATGGAATCGAAATTATTTAAACAAACATATCACTTGGTTCCAGAACGAATGAGCCATAACATATTTATCAAATCAGATTTTTTACAGGTCTTGTTTTCAGCGAGGGGTCATTTTGGGAAAAACAACGGAAATTTACAGTATTCCATTTGAGAGATTTAGGATTAGGTAGACAGAAAATGGAGGCCTTGATTCAAGAAGAAACTCACGATCTAATGGAAGTTTTAAAGCAGGAAAGTGCCAAAGGTCCCGTAGAAATAAAAAACGCGTTTGATATCAGCGTGTTAAACACTCTTTGGGCAATGACTGCCGGTAAACGATACAACTTAAACGATGAACGTTTAAACTATCTAGCGCGTCTGGTACATGATTCATTCACGAAAGTGGATCCAAGCGGTGGTTTACTAAACCAAATGCCACTTTTACGTTTCCTTGCTCCGAATTTATGCGGATACAATCTCGTGAGCACGTTGGTAAACAAAATTACGCACTTTATTAGCGAATCTATCAATGAACACGTAGATACGTTCGATGCAGACTCGCCTCGTGACTTGATTGATATGTTTATCAAGAAAATGCATTCAAAATCCGAAACGTTTACTGGTAATGTTGACTCCACTTCCCGGAATATACTATGTTTGAGCACGTTTTATTATTATATTGTTTGCAGAGGAGCAACTAATTTCGCTTTGCATGGATTTATTCATGGCAGGATCGGAAACAACAAGTAACACGCTTTCGTTTGCGGTGCTTTATCTTGCTGAATACACCGACGTCCAGCGGAAAATGCAGTCGGAATTAAATGATGTGCTTGGATCACGTACACCCACGCTTCGAGATAAAATCAAGTAACATTTGCCGTTGTTATTAAAGCAAGTTGCCGGTTCATGCTTGTGTGCGTTTCAGTTTGCCGTATACAAACGCTGTCCTGTGCGAAATCCAGCGAATGAGTAACGTCGCTCCCGTGGGAGTGCCGCACAAAACAACGTGCAATGTAACGCTGGCGGATTGCGTCATCCCGAAAGGCACGATCATGCTCGCTAATTTGTTCAGCGTGCATATGGATGAGAAATTCTGGGGCGATCCGCATAATTTCCGCCCGGAGAGATTCTTGAATGCTGAGGGACAGCTGGAAATACCGGACAAACACTTTATGCCTTTCGGGGTGGGCAAACGTCGCTGCATGGGGGAATTGCTAGCCAAGGCCAATTATTTTCTCGTGATCACGACTCTACTGCAAAATTTCCACATTGAGAAGAATCCAGATGATCCTGAATTGAATTTGTCTGGAAGAGACGGATTTACTCTTTCTCCCGCATCCACTAAATTAATATTGAGTGCAAGGTATTTGTAGTAAATTTGACGTGCGTAATTTTATATGTTTATGCACAAAACCCCATAATATCCAAAATACAATTTCGACCTTATTGACGACTAGTTTCAGAACATAATTTACATGCAATTTAAAGACTTATATTTTTAGTAGTAGATTAAAAATTTCAATAAAATCTAGACAATAATATTCCCCATTTGATCAGAGTCAACATGCTAAACATTCACATCAAATACACACTATGATAATTATAACCAGTCTTATGAATACACGAATCACTTCATAAGAATATATAAATAAAGTCAATCTTCATCGCTCGTTATCCACGATTAATATAAATTATATGAAATGCAGTCTTACGGTGAAGGCACTTCATTTGCATCATTACGAATTAATCAGTTATATGTTTGCGAGAAACATTTAAGTAGTCAGAATGTTTTCATCGGGTATGTGGTAAAATCGATGCACAATTCTGCGATAATGTGATACTCAGGTTTTCGAATGGAAACGATCATGTACCGTGCTCGAACTCCTGATATCCTTCGGCACCAGTGAAAATCACGTCGATCCATATGCGCATTGCTTCCGGTGACGGCGCCATTAAATAATAATAGCGCTCGTGCGTTTTCACAATGAATGTCAAATGCGGATTCGACGATTTCACGGAGTTGGCGTGGTCCAAGTAGACTTCTTCAATCGCCTAGAAATTGCGCGTTACACATTTCGTTTATAAACAATCATTAATAAACAGCAATAATTCTGCCACGCTTTTGTGTTATGCATGCATAAAATCGTTCATTTTATTACCTGAAAATAAGCTCCACCTCTGGGTTTCTTTTCAGTTTTATCGCTGTAATAAACTAGTGTTCTTTTGACGCGATCAAACACAAACCAGCGTCGACTCCAACCATTAAGCTTTGAGCCGCGCTTATGCAAAAAGCCGCGGCAACTCGTTGAGTTTATTCTCACGTGTGGACAAAGATCTGCCTGGTGGCCTATAAACATTAATGTCTCGTAAAAATATGTGCAATTTATATAGTAAAGAAAATATTTGCGTGTTGCTCAAGGCGTTACGTACCCGCCGACTCAATGTGATGACGCAGATCTAATTCAACGCTACGAATTGGCAGAAATCTTGTCAGCGGTCGATGTTTGTCACCGAGATTTTTGCCTCTCCTTCGCCCAATTGTTCCAACTTCCACGCTCACATCACTGGTTTCAGACAAGGGACGCGGTGAATCAGGTCCTATCGAATTGTCTCTTGGCTGAAATCACAAGAAAAGTTTTGTTAAACTCGATAAGTTTCCGGAAGTTTAGCGATGTGTGCTTACGAGATAGGAAGAATGTCGATGCATTTTTTTATACTTCCGCTCAGTAATATTGATTTTCAAGTAATTCATCCACAGCGACATTTTTACGTTGTTAAGAAAATCAAATTATTGTCAATGCGTATTTAACGAATCGTGTACGTGTTTGCTTCGCGCCTACAACCGATCGAATGCGCGCTCACTTCGTAAGTTTGGTAACGTTCATCGATGAAACGTGTGCGGTCGAAAACACGTGAAATACGTCCGTGGCCTACGTAAATGAACGCAGCGTGCACCCACAATACGTTAACAATTAAAGAAGTGCAGCTCGACGGTGTAATAAGGACAGGCGATTGATGTCACAATGACTAAAAGCGATGGGCCAAACCGCCAAACGTAAATGCGGAACACGGCGCAGCTAAGTCGAACCGACGCGTGCAGAAGTGCGTACGCTAATGAGAACAACAAAATGGAATTAGATATTGCATCGCGGAACTGCGGCGGTACTAAATAGTCGGAGCGTCGAAAGCAGCATCGCACGCTGCAAATATTATGAGTAGGACAACTTAAATTTTAGTACGACCTGAATTTAGCCGCCGTACGAATTCCAAGGGACAAAGCAGCGGCAAAGTTTCCGAAAACCGGGCAAAACTACATATCAGCAAATACATATGCGCATAGATAAACATAAATTTAGAACGCTGAAAAAACAGTTTTTCGTATAAAACAAAATAAAGAGATGAGTGTTTGTAGCGTCGCATTCCGATTAGTCTGTCTGCAATTTAAATGTATGTCGGCGGTTGATATATTTGCTAATAAAATAGATTTGATCAAAATTTATCGTTTTTTATCCAATTCGCACGGAATAAATATATACGAGTGCCAACAAAACGATCAACCCACTTTCTACTAAATCGGTTTCCGCAATAGCGATCGCAACCTCCAACTAATTACTAAATGTCGCAAGATTTAAGTAATTGCCTTCAAATGTAATTTCTTAACTACTATGTAGTATCGTCATCATTGCGTTACAATGCCATCGCATGAATTTGTGTTATTTCATGCGTATTCAACTAAAGCACAACACAACGCTACTAAAAATAACTGCGGCTCGCGACGGTTCCACAATAATTCTTTCATAAAAGACAACAGCTTCCTGTGCCTGCATTCACCTTAACCTTAGGAATCTGAGTACCACGTAGCTTCAAACGTTTTAAAAAATACCACATGTTATTTTTACTAGTGATTGAAAACTAAAGTCTATATACGTACCTCAACGGGACTGCTGGCCACGTGGTTCGAGTTGACTTCATCTTTCGGGATAGGAGGATCGGAGTTCCTGTAAAAGATTGAATTTCCACTTGCTTTATAACTCATCGTCACTAAATTCGCCACTGACAACTTTACGAACTCAATGAATTCGCAAATGCTTATGTAGTACCATTATTATGAAATACCTAACGATTTAGTCGTGTATGATATTTAAAATGTTGGACTAAAACCAAAAGTTTTTTGACATGCGACGCTAAAATTGGATCGGATCGTTCCGAGCAGGTGGTAAAGACTAATAGATTTGCAATTTCATCACTTGACAACTTAATTTAGTAATCCTGTGCAAAAACTCGACGTTGTCGTAAATTATTTCAAAGTATTTGACGTCAGGCCGTTTCAAAATTGTGCATGAGTCTATGTAACTTTGTAACTTGATTGCTCTTGGTACTCGGTGACAGCGTGTTAAAATATTTGTATGTATATCTGGAATCGAATTTATTTGTATATAATAAAATAGGGGCTATTTTTATATGCTATAGCTAAGTAATAATGCAGTCCTGGCTTTGCGTTAGCCACTGTTTGTATAATTAGAGCACGCGCATTATCTTTTCGAATGAAAACAGAAGCACGTGACTTGATTCAAACAAATCTTGTTTTCACTAGTTGCTGAACTTATGAATCATGCGAATTCTTTCAGGAAGATTCATATGTAAATCATTTATCATCCTCAACTGCATCGTTTGCAAAAATATTATTGTGGTTTTCGGCACACATACACACGTTCCTTACTTACGCAAAATAGACCAAAAATAACTCACAAACCGGAGAAACGCGCATTTGTATTTTATATGACCCGATCAATAAACATCACTGTTTGTTTTTATTTCAATTTCGTGGAACAACTGCACCCATACCAAGATCAACATGTTGGATTCATTAAAGATTGGTTTTGTGAAATGCGTTACCTTAGCACATTTGAAGTCGCAAGCATTGCGTTTGAGTTGATTGATAGCTAGAGTAGTACTAATTCGACATAATGCGATAGGCGCAATCACATTAACGATTATCACTCGGTTCTAAAAGATAACTCACCCATTTTCAGTATCGTCAGATCCTACAGAGTTGATTGATTGGCAATCTTGTTTCCTTGCGGCCCATTTTGTACGCACTTCGTTCTGCACTTTTTGTTTTAATGCTTGAACTCGCCGTCGCTCGTTTTCAATAACTTGAGATCCTAAAGCAATAAAACATTACAATTTACGAAAAGTAAGTGAAAAGTATTTATTTACCTTGTTGTGCCAAATGTAATTGACGATTTCGTTCGATTTCCTTTAGAGATTCGAAAGTTTTCTTGCTCATCGAATCACGATTGTCTTCAATGTTCATCGGAGCGTCCATGGTTACCTTGCTAATTCGGTCAATGTCACCCTGGCTGGGAATTCGCCTTCCGCCCATACCGTCCTCCAAAACAGACTTCTCTTGAAACATTTTCTCACTGAATGACTGTGACATATTGAAGTCCTCTTCGCATATTCTTGTACTGGTCACAATGAACGACGTACTCATATCGCAGACTTTATTCAGTGATAACATGGACGCTTCCCGTCTGACCGTTTCAAGATCTTTCGGTTTGTCTGTGTCACTATCCGTAGATAAATCATCATCTGTTTCACGGTCTTTCAAATTTGCCAATTCAACATCAATATCACGCAATTTCGTCCGAATATCTTCCAAAACTTTGGAAAATTCTAATCGTTTCTCTTCAATTTTGGTAAATTCATTAGCATTTGTGGTAGCTGTGATGGAATTTTCACGTTGTAAATCGTTAATGTGTTTCTTTAAATCGTCCATTCTTTTTGTCAAATCCATTACCTCTCGTTGGTGCTCCTCTCTACTGGCCAGCATATCTGCCTCTTCTTCTAAATGGTGAAACTCTAAATCTTCAAACTTTTTGTTTTCGTTATCTAACGTCTCCTGCGCTTCCAAGTACTCATCAAATGTACTATTATACTCAGGCGAATCTTTAGGTATAGTTGATAGTTTTGTTTCAATAGACTCGACTCGATCTTTTGCCATTTCAAGCTTTTCCTTGCACTCCCTTTGATCTTCTTCTTGAATAAGTTGGCTTTCATTCATCTTCAAATCAAGATTATGAGCGTCCTGAAGTAATCTTTCTTTACGCGCTTGAAGCTTCTCCAGTTCCAATTGTTTAGCCTTGCACTCTCCAATAATGAGAGCCTTTTCAAGTTCAAGCTCTCTTGATAATTCTTCACCCATGTTATCCATTTCAGCCATGCGTCTCTTAATCGTTGCGATTTGTGATAATTTATCACGCTTTTCCTCTTTCAACTCGTAAAGCTTACGCGATGTAGAATTGCTGTCAGGGCTCGTGTTCTCTTTATTTTCAGTAAAATTCAAATTATTCGCAATGCTACCAGTGTGATTATTTAAAGTTAAATTTTCATAATTCTCTAAATGTTTCATGTAACCATGTTCGTCTTTGAATTTCACCGGGGCAATGAATTTAGACGGTAGAGTTTTTGCCTTAAACATTGGCGCATCAAACAAATCTGTTGTCGATTCTTTCGGGGAACTGGAACATACAAAAATGTTAGCATATTCTCCCATCACATAGATAAGATAAGCAATATTTACCTTTCCTTGTTGGGAGTTACAAATGTTTTAATTCTCGTACGCGGCGATGACAGCGGCAGCGTCGGCGAACCGTTTGTTATCGATACATTCTCGTATGCGCTCATATTTTTCCCGCTGGTGCTAGAGTTACTCTTTTGTACTTCGATTGATTCATATTGCTGCTGCATATTTTGTCCTGTAACACTCTCCTGTGATTCAAATATGAAATAATGTGTATCTGTAGTATTCGGTGAACTGCCTAATTTTGGAGAGTTCATAATATTCGGTGAAATGCACGTGCGCTTATCACGTGGTAACGACCCGTTAGTTATAATCCTGGAATAATTAAGATACGATTGTTAGCCAAACATAACAGCACCAAAAAACCCATCATATACCTGTTGGGCGTCGGTTTATTAGCTTTGTCGCATTGAACTTGCTTATCATACTCGGCACACATGGTTAGTATCTCTTCCAAACGCGCTTTTTCCGCTTTTTCAATTTGCTGCTCTTTGATTCTGTCAACTTGCGCCTACAAATGGAAGTACAAATGATAGAAATAGTTTGCAAACACTAATCTAAAACAATAAATAGCAACTTACTGGAATTCTGCTGATAGCAAAGATAAGAAAATCAGACAATCATTTTCAAACTATGCATTGCAGGTCACATAACTATATTGTAAATATTATATAATGCAAACCCACCTGATTTCTCTTGATTTCTGCTTCATTTTTACGTAGCGATAAATCTTCGTAGCTGCTCACGTTGCTCTTATTCTCGCCGTTGGGCGTGCTGCACCTTGTTTGACCCTTGGCAACATTCACGTTTTTATTCGCATTCTGATTGTAGTTACGCGTAATATTATTAAGTTCGTGGTGTTCCTTCATAACCGAGCCATTCTCGAAAATAACCACTTTGTTATTAATCGTTTTCGTCTCGTTCAGCTGCACGTTAACATAACTCGGTGACTTACAACCGAATATTTGCCTGTCCGGCGTTTTATTCTTAAAATTCGTTTCGGCATAATTAACAGCAGGTTGTGAAATGTTTTTCGCATAGCTATGCAAATCAGGCGGAGTCCTGCCCAAAACATCCTTGGCTGGCATGTTAACCGTGACTAAATTTGACGAGAACACTTTCGGTGATAAACTCTGCTTCATGTTCTGCGCGGCCAGATATTCAAACTTTGACACCTTCATCATGATACTGGATTGTGACGGCTCCTCATCCGAGTAGGAACTGCGCGGTGATTTACGCGGCACCGTCGGGGGCTTCTTCAAGAATTTCTGTTGATAAATCTCTTCATTTTCGAATGTAATTGGCGCCATTGAGATTCTCGAATTGGTTAATTTCATCAATTTAGCTTCGGCCGGATGATTAAAGCGCATGTAATTTGAGCGACCGATTGTTAACATGACACCTGCAATATGATCAAGATAAGAGATTAATTTACCAACAAAACAATGCGTACATGCTACATTAGAGATATGAAAGTTTGAATACATAGTGAATGTATGTACCTTGTGTGAGTCTTGTGGATGCGGTAATGTGAATGCCGTCGACGCTTGAATTTCCCGCAATAGGATGCAGAGTGACTACGCCTTCGTTGTTCTCAATGTGGCAGTGTAAAGGTAATACACCCGTTCCTTGAACTGGTATGTCCACACCTGGGCCACTTCCAAGCGTTACTCGCCCTGGAATAAGTACGAAATTTAAATATATACCGAAGTAGCGCATAAAATATTAATTTTACATGCAAAATTCAGCGTAATTCGTGCACGTAAATATCGCACAAGTACTGCTAATTAAGTAGTCATGTTTCTTTGGAAATTTGGTGTTAAACTCATTTGATAAGAGGTTTTTGGGTTAGTGTTACATACAAATAACATGAAAACAAAACAAAAGTGTTTTGCGACACAATAAAGTTTATTAATTTGCAATATATTCATCGCTATTTATGTGTGGGCATTCATCTAACAATAAAGTTACCAAAACTAGAAATATCAACTATCTTGTCAACAACATTTACCAAAAATAAAAGAATGTTGTACAAGCATTTCAATTTACATTTGACCTTCCAAATCAATAATTTCAAGTCACATATACCTAAAATATACGCAACAAAGAAACCAGCCATGTATGAAAATACGCTCCGTTTTTCACAGACCATCTTCATGTCCATAAAATTAAAGTAATAAAAAAATAATAATAACAAAGCCTGTGTGCACGGTCTACCTATTAAATTATGAGCGGATGTAGTCGCGTTTTTATTTGACGATTGCACGTCGGTGCACTTTGTGTTGCGAAGAGAACAAAACAAAATTACCTTCACATTGTGGTTGCGCATCGTTTGCTACTCATTTTCTCGTAATGTGCGTAACGTGCTTACAACGGGTGTAGAGCTAAAAATGACCCGATTTGTTTTTCCATTAACAGATAGTTTTACAAGCGGCTGCGCCAGCGTAATATAAATGAATGAAATTTCCATAAGTTAACAGCGGATGCGTGTGTATGAGTAGGTTTACTACGGAACTCAAGAGATTTGTATAAACATAAGTGTGCGTAGAAGCGGTGAAGAAATAAATATGATGTTCTCTGATGTAGGTGGTGCATTGATGCATGCGTTACGTGTCTGGTTATTTCAAGGAATACATGTGTTATGTTAAATTGACGGTGCACGTAAACAGTCACACTGCCATCACATCACCATCACGCAAATAGGGAAGCAAAGAAGTTGTAAAAACTGTTTAAGTTCAAGAGTTGTGAGATAAACAGAGGGAACTTTCTAGAGACTTATTTCCTGGTGTTATCAAATGTTAACAAGTTTTGCAACATAAATCAGGTGTTTTTTTTAATAATATTTGAATTAAAAATTAAAGAAATAATAAAATTTCAACTTTTATTTAAAAATACAGAATATTCTGGAACTTTCAAATATATTTTGCATTGTAAAGTATATTTCTCCGATACTTGACAAGTAGTTTTCAAGATACTTATCGTCTTTCACAATTCCATGACAATAATGTTTAAAATCTAAGAGCAAATATGCAAATAAATCAAGCACTTTAAAGACATTTTAATCCTTACAAAACGGGTTAGTCTCCCATAACTTTCGAAACTTCTAATGAATGCCCAAATACTGTTTTTCGACGGGTATTTTTGGAAAGTAATCTAATGTAGGAAGATTTACATGAAGCATGTCGGTAATCCACGTGTGCCAGCCAAATTGGCATCTACTCAAATACCTAATCCGTAAAAACGTTTGCACAAGCTTTCGCAAATATGAAAGTACTGACCTTGCGGAAGGGGATGTAACGTGACAGCCGTGCTCAGTCTGTCGCCCCCCATGCTGACCAGATGTGGCGCATCCGTTTGCAGCTTAAGGGCTCTGCCAGAACTTTCCGTCAATTCCACAGCACCGGTGGGCAGCACACCTGCGTTCGCCCCTCGATCGACGGCGCCATTCGTCGCAGTGACACTCGACATTTTCGCTCACACTGCAACAAGTAAAAAGCGGATGTCAGAAAAACGACCGCAGGCACATCCAAACGAAGCTATAAAATAATAAATAAATTAAACACAACCATCACATTACTTCGAAATGTCACTTCGACGCGCAGAGACGGCATGCAGCTGATGATGCATTCATTAAGGCATATTAAGCGGAGTCAATCGAGCACACGCACTTGTCGGCATGGGTTAATGACCCACACAATGCAACTGGTAAATATTTATATTTTATGAGTGGAAACTCAAAAAATATGAGTGTTTCATCTATCACACTTGAAGCTCACAAAGAACACTGATCTGTGGTTTGATATAAAACTCATAAAATCAACTGTGGTTTATTTCATATTAATTTTTGTTGGTAGGGTTTATAAATGAAAATTTGTCCCAACGAACCGCAACCGCCATAGCAATCATAGTAAAATATTAGTCACCTTTTCGACGAAAGGGAATTTATAATTACCTCCTGCCGGCTTTCATAAATTTAGATGCGCAATGGCCGCAATGAAATTGCATTCTGTTGAAAGTTGCACTTAGTCATAAATAAAAGATACAAATCTGCACAACAAAGTATGCAAGATATAATATCATTTAATGCAGATTTCATGCGGTTATATACTTGTCAGTTGTCTATGTTAATCGTAAACAATTATCGTTATTATCGATACAAATTATAAACCATTGGTGCATATACGTCAGTTTGCTAATTGCGTTGATATTAATTATTTTAGAAATCGCCGTCAACGCGTGACATTTAATGAGTGCCGGTTTGCAAAACCAAACCAATCAATTACTATAAATATGAAAATAGGTATAATATAACTATGTTTACTACCGACGCACATTTCTGGTATACATTGGTCAAGGTAATTTTCAAAATTTGCGATTATGCAACGCCACGAAACTATTGTATGTGCATAAATTAACAGTATATATTTTTTGTCCTATATTATATTATATCGCGTTTATATGAGCGCATAATACCAATTATTTATAGTTCACTGTAAGAGCAATACACAATTCAAAGAACAATTCAGTATATACAATATGATGTGCGTTGTTAAGCACATGTGGTCGTCAACCGCACAATTTTTTATTTAATTTAATGGTCACTACATGTGGTGCAATTAATTTGTGTCGATTAACCTCATTTGTGAAGTGTTGATTTTTTCATCAACTTTGACACAAATTAAGACAAGTATTAATACTCTTTGTTATTTCTATATTTATAACAAAATAAAATGTATCTTTATAGGAAATACTAGAATTTCACGGTTATTTGATTCGTAATCGTTAACATGTCATCGAACCATCAGCAAAAGCTTTTTGCGCACTCGTATAAATATACGCATGTGACAATATAAATAATTACAGGCGCGGCTAAATGTCAAGTGCACAAAAATAAATCGAAGACGTAGATATTCCGCACTCGTCAGCATGATAAGAAAAACTTGCTGCATCAACAGCAGATTGTATTGATTGTTGCTGTGTGTGCTTTTTGTCACACCACTAGCTAACAAATTGCGCACTGTACAAAGCAACAATAAGTAATAGAATAGGCATTAATTCAAAAAGACGTGTTGTTATCATGCATAAACTATTTATGGCTGCGTCCATCATTCGTCAAAGCCTTGCAATGAATGACATCATGTGTTAAATGTGTAAATAATAATAATAAACACTGAGTGAAAAGAGTTGTTGGACACTTGGCCAGTCGAAGGAAATCGTGTGATGAAATTTTAAAATAATCACGTGGCTGGTGGCATGGTCAATGAGTTTTGTAATAACTACGAATGAATGAATGAATAAATTCTCTGGGTGTAATGTACGCAGGTTTATAAATAATTTATTGCACGTGCATCTTGATAACTTGTTGATTGTGTACCGTTACTTGAAATCAAATAGGCCTAATAATAAAAGTGAAATGATTGTGTTTATTGCATTTCCGCGTCTATGTTTAGAAGATACATAGTTTTATTCTATGCGTAAAGTGGAAGTAGTAAGTGCACTTAATGCGATTTTAAATATGATAAGAACAATAGAACAAATAGCAATCTGGGATCATCGTTTGCTTCTTGCAGGAAATAAATAGTTTAGACTAAAAAATATGTAGCAATAGTTTTCCTGAATGCATTATTCTGAGAATAGAAAAAAATATGTTTCAAAGTCAACACAAGCATTTCTTTACAAAAGTTTGTTTTGTTAATGCACAAAGATTAAAATTAAGCAGCAGTTAAAAATCTTCGGTTACGTGCTCGCAAATAAACAAAGAAAAACTACAGATGATGTTGGTGTTGTGATGAATCATGCAAAATTTATGTTATTGGTAGACGTGCCCCAGAACAAAAAACAAGATGTAATTAACACACATTATAATAAGACATCTGATACCTGCAGAAGTAAAATTTGATTAATGGATTATTCGTGACTTGGCTACTAAATAAAAAATTACATTTTTATAATTGACGCAAAGTTAGAACGAAAAAATGCAAATAACAGCTCAAAATAAAATAAAACCTCTTATTTTTTATTTCCTCAATTTATAAACAACAATAGCTGAAGATAAGTAATAGGAAATTCCAAAGATTAAAATTCCATCCGCGTCATTTCACACAATTCCTTGTTAAGTCGTGATTACCAATGACTTCAATGTGTTCTTCAACCATTTAACCACAAGCAAGGTTTACGCGTCAAAATACTTAATTAAATTTAACATTTTAATAGGTACACAGATGGAATAAAAAAACCTCGTTAAATATTTTAACATTTTTAACTATGTATTTCAGTACTAATAAGTTGAGCATGATGGTATAGATATTCTTCGTTAGAATGTAGACGAGCAGACAAGAATGTGATGAATTTTATGAGGGTTTCGCATAAAAGTATTGCATACCACGATAATGCCATAATATGCGAGATGGCCACAGGGAAGAAATATGAAAGGTAGACACGAGACACCGAAAGCACATGAGGTGAGAGGAGTGGGCATCGACGCAGTTGTCGGCCCGTAGGTACGTAGGATCAAGCAGAGAGAAGAAAGGTTATGGAAACGTAATATGTATTTACGGCGTTTGATAAATTCCTTGCGTTCGTTAGCGGCCAGTCTGGCGGCAATAATTTAGAGAAGAGAATTCCTTTCTGTTACAGGTGCGCGTGTATACCTCTCATTCAAGAGGAAAAATAATGGCGAAGCAGAATGTGGACGTTTTGTTTTGATTGTAAATTGAAAACGTGAACATGAAGTTTACATAGCAAATAATTCATGTTTGTGGCGGTTCAATACTTGATTGAGACATTTCAAATATTGAGCAATGCTTTGTTTGACTGTTTAATCAATATACATTTCACATCGTCCAATAATTTGCAATATTTATTCACACTTTTGTCAATAAAATTCTGTCATAGATTTAAAGCAAGTGAATATTATATAACTTTCACTTTAAAGAGAAGAAAATGTAGTATTACTAGCAAACACCTACACAGAAAACATTCAAATATTTATTAGGTAATCTATATTATTATCATATTTAAACGGTCAATAAAATTACCATTAGACATGATGGTTAGAAAATTATTTTATAGAACGGTGTAATAAAATCGCCGACAAGTGATATCAATAGGTATCGCTTGTAACAGAAAGGAAACTTAATGCAATAGTTGTTGTCATTAAGCAATACCCTTATGTACTTATAACGTTTACAAGTTTAGAAAACGCATTGAAATGGAAATATGCATTTGTGCGAGCGAGACATACTCAGAAGTAAGGAACGTAGGCAGGTTAATAAAAGGTTTGTTTGCTTGCCGGCGGACTAGAATTTATGTTGAAGGCGTTATTAAACAATATGCACACCGCAAACACTTCGGAAACAATTGAAAGTTATGATTTTCCACGCGCACGATTTAAACAAATGACATAAGAAAAGCTAAGAAAACAGTGAACCTACTTTCTAGGAAAGACGTTAAATGAAATGAAGCAATTTTAAAATTCCTTAAATTACATCATCAAAATATTGATGATTCGTCATCGTATTCACGTTGGTTTCCATTCAAAAAGTGAAGAAAGAAAAGAATGTTCTTAGTCATACTAAAATCTTCCGGTTTTTCTCTTGTGCAAGTCTTGTGCAGTCATATGCATTCCATATTTATGATCATACTCTGAAGAATCTACTCGTAAATGATTGGAATTTGTTTGTCGCAGGTAAGCTGATATATTTTATGATCTCGTGGAAATGAATTCTTCGTCATCCAGTTGCAAGTGCACTGCGCCTATTAAATTGTACGTGTAATTGAAAAGTGAAATTGATTCTTGGAAGAAATGCAAGGAATTTTGGAAAAATACTTTTCGTAAATGCCGATTAGTCATTATTCGGAACTGCACTATTTTTAAATTGCAGCGTGCATTTTCTCTTATAAATAACTTTCCTCTTCATCGTGTTCTTGAAATGACATAGTTTGAATAATGTTGGATAGAAAAGTGTTAAACTATGCGATTAATCTTTCACACTGTACTAGGCTTAATTAGACTGCATTCTTCAAAAGATTAGTTTACAAAGGAACAGCGCGGAAAGATTTAAGACTCTTTTCTGCATTTTTAGTAATGTAGTAAATTAATCTTTCATTTTTCTCGTTTAATCCGAAAACTTTCGAGTTAAATTTTATTTTTAAACAAAATATAAGAAAATTCTACATGGTATTTTCAATATAATCAAATTTACAAAGATCAAAGAAGTTTAATACAGAAAAATATCATTAAAAAAACTACAAATAACTATTTTATGCTCGTAACATGCAAAATACTATTTTTCTCATAGTTATGTTAAAAATAGAACTGTTCTGTTGATTTTTGCTCACAATATGTGATAGTTTTTGTCCTTGCACAATTGATACCAAACAAACAAGCCTAATAAACAAACACATCATGCGATAGATTAGTCTAACTGTACATTTATGTACCAAAATGAAGATACAGCGCCCTAATTACACCAATTCATCGCACATTGGTGCGACATAAACTATGAAGTTGAAAGTGTGTAATGAAATTATTAGCAATAAAACGCGACTGTGTGACGTGCCGCAAGCAATAAATCGTGCTGTTTATATACATTACATCATCACTGTTTAGCTGGCGTTCTTTAGAACTGGTATTAAAATATAACAGCGTGATAACAGAATGTGATCATCACTGATGTGTTTTGTATGCATCTGGACGAAGGAGGAAGTGTATGTGAATTGCTGAAAGACCATCTGTTCCTACGATACGCAAATATTGAATTTTTGTTTACGATGTAATTATAGCCAATTAACGCAGCGGCGTAGAGGCGCTAAGTGAGCTTCTTAAGTGTTGTTGATAAAGCTAGTTAACGCCGCCATTCAGAAGATAAACCGGAGCACGTGACGATTGCTTCGCTGATAATGGCAGGATCTATCGAGAGCAGAACTGCTTTTCACTTTAACGTTGGTTGCATCCCGACATCCCAAAGAGCAAACGTTTACTCATTAATGTTATTATAGGATTAAGTATATAAAGCGTATATTATAAATAACTTTTGTTTTCACTCTCGCAGCTAAGCCGAATTTATACTCGTACGGCGTATAGTGTTTGTTCTGCCTCTAAAACCAAGCACCAAGCAAAACCATGCACAAGTATTTATTAATCCTTCACATGTTATAATTAAATGCACAGATGTGTACTCACCCTTTTACGTTTTAATTAGTTGTCGTGCTATAAATAAATCCACGGCTATGAAAGAGTTAGCATCATGCGCGCAGACTCTTCGGCACCCGATAAGATTAATATGCATACAGAGTTCCTAACACTTTACTTTAGAACACTAGAGACTTAACACAAGGAAGATTCATGATTACGGCACAACATGATAGTGAGATTGTGGATCCACACGACGTACACACAATAAACGTGCGTAATGATACCGAACTAGACGCGGCACTCGCTAAACTCACTCTACTCACCCAAACAAACCGAACAAGAAGCGAGCACGCATTGTGATGCCGATGGATGCCGACTCCGTCGGATCCTCCAACTCCAACTGCATCAAACACGTTCTCGTAGGCAATGTAAACAAAAAACAAGTTATGGTTGCGGCGTGCTGTAGGACGCACGGAATTGTTGCTGTTTCTTTTCAATGCGTTGTATTCTCCATGGTAGGAGATAGCAGTTTGTCGCTAACATCAAAGAAGTAAATGCGGGCTGTTAAACGAGAAAATAGTTTATTAATTTGTTTACAGATGACGCTAGCATGCTTGTTTGCAATATTTTTCTTTTATTTACTTGTAAGTTAAGAGTGTACAAAAAATGCAAAAAGTTATTGAAAATAAAATATTGAATCTAAGCTGAACGATTGATAAGCAATATTTAAAAAATATTTAAGTTTTAAATGTTTATTGATTTGTTTCCTAACCTAGCAATATTGTTATTGTACACATTTTATTTCGGTGAGGAGTTCGTTCTGAAAAAGTATTGAAAAACAACTAAAACATTGAGCAGTAATTAAGATTGGTTAGAATTAATTGCTTTTTTCTGCACGGTAGTATCTCTAAAATATAATGGGGTTTCGTTATTACTGTGATTACTGTGATAAAGTGTTTATTGATGATGTAGAAGCCAGAAAGAAACATTTAAATTGTGTTTATCACTTGAAAATGAAGAAATTGCACTATGCATCATTTAGAGGTAAATACAGTATACAATTTTTTAAATTCATCTATAATTGTTTATTTTATTTTAGATTTATCAGAAATTCTAGCTGAAGAGTCAGTGAAAATTCCATGTAATAGGTTTAAAACTGCAGGTTATTGTCAATTTGAAACATCTTGCAAATATACTCACTATACCCAGGAACAACTATGGCATATTAAAGAGATGAGTAAGTCTTCTTTAAATTAAAAACTTATTGTATGTGATTTGTTGATTGATATTTTGCTTTAGTTATATACGAACAGCAGAAAAAACTTTATAAAACATTTGAACAAACAAAAGTACCAATGCCAGAAGAATGGTTAGCAAACTATGCACAAAAGAGAGATGAAAGGAATGAAAATGTTGGTAAAGTATTTTGGTCTTACCCCCAACAATTAGAAAGTAGATATGATTTGCCACCATCTATGAAGAAATTTCAGCCAGAATATTTTCAAGATTCAGATTTTCCTGAATGGGGACAACCTTCTAAGTAAATATAAATTTATCTGTAAATATGACGAATAAAAACAATACACAATATGGTTGTTGAATATATTTGTAGGTACCTCAATCAAATTACAATTAATTCTGTTCTAAAAGTTTTGTATCTTAGTTGAAGAAGCTCCAAACTAAAATAAGAGAGATCACAATGTCATATCCTCATTATTAACATGATTCATATGAATTTCTTGCTAACTACAAGAGATTTAATTACTCAATAATACAAATAAGTATTAACAATAAATATTAACCATTATTGGAATGTTTGCAACACAATGTAAAGGTATAAAACACTCAGACACACTTGGTTGTTTGTCAACATTGGTTTTAAAATGTAGCTCTTAGTCCACCATACAGGTATAATATGTGTTGTTTTTCAATTGACAATTCGCGATGTTTTCTTATTTTACGTGTGTCCACAAATGTTTGAATGAGTTTCATTTATTTATCGTCAAATAGGATTTAACAACGTGCTTGCACAATAAGTGTTTAGATGTCTATATTTGTTTTATATCTTAAATGTTTTGTATAATTATATATGTATATATTGTATGTTGTTAGTAATTTGTAAAGTATTTAATTTTTCTATTTGGGAATTTGCGGAATAAAGTCGTCAAATAGTTTTAGTAGGATTGTAGTTGCTAGGTGCATTGGATTGTATGTTTTTCTCAGTGCTCAATATTGAACAATGAACTGAAATGAACGTACGACTGGAAAATATTTGGTCTGTATGTCAATGTTAAATGTTTGAAAGTTTGAATTTTTTTTAAGTTTTAAAATGTACTCTCATTAAATTTTACGTTTGTAAAGGTGCAAAGTCTAAAAGTTACTGTGCTGAGATGCCGTTTCTCGTTTGAAATCGTCGAAAGTTTGCATCGACTTCGGATACGCTGGATAACTCTCCGGCAATACAGAAATCGTTAGGTAGAGTATTGCCATCAATGCTAAAAGGTATTCTAATATAATACGGATAGTACGCTCTCCGCGTAAAGCATGAACATTTACGCGAGACATTCTATTACGGTGAGGTAAACGGCAAATTTGATGAGGTTTTTGTTTATCTGGGCCGATGGCGTAGTTCTTGTTACATGTTATTGTATTGTTGACAATTGAAAATCGACGATGGTGCTGCGAACGGCGAGTGACGATCCGCATGAAAATGGTGCGTCCATGGCGGTGCATGGCGTTCACTTGTCGTGTTCTTTGCGCGCCATGTGACCCCGGAAGGACGCTTGAATCTTGACCGCAGCCTTGCTTAGATCTGGGTCCGTCAGATCGATATCAGCCACATCATCGTCGAGCGCATTGTTCTGAAAGCACATAATAAATATAAATATGCGCGCCGGCACCTCTACCTTTACATTGCTCATAATTTACGTGCGGGCATTACGCACAATTATATGCGCACATTAAAACAGCGCCCACGGGCAGAAAAGCAATAATTCAAAGGCGGCTGCTGTGTAAAAAAATTACTCACTGCTGGCTCGTCCGGCTTCTCGGCTTCGTTTGTCTTGCGCGACATGTGACCCCGGAAGGATGCTTGGATTTTCGTTGCGGCGTGGCAAAGTTCTACAACAACAAGAAACAGCTATGAATTACGTCTATGTAGACAAATTGTGAGTTGTTTCAGGAAGTAGAGGAACTATCCCTAGGCGTCGTAAAGTGCAACTACTTCCTAAGACGGAAACCGTTCGGACAACCTGTACTCGTACTTGTTTGTTTGTTTTGTATTCGCGTAGTTCAACATATCAGAAGTACAAGTTTCCGAGAGGCAGACTTTACGATATTACATTTTTATCAACTTCAGTTGGTACATTTTGGAAACTTTAATTATTTGCATAGAATAAGAAACTTAAAACTCTATTACTATTTAAGTTAGCCTTTTAAAACTCAACGGGGTACGTTAATAATTAATTTGAATATTACGTGAGATCAAAAGAGCTTATAAAATACATATAACTGAAAGCAAGGGTTAAATATAATCATTACTATGTCTCTGTAGACCTGCAGAAAAGTAGGTTAAATCCGATGCATTTTGCACGCTTGCTTGTAGATGATATTCATAATTTCGCACCGCGACACATTAATATTTATTGCGTTCGTTCGTGATGTTTAATATTTATATGTGAGCGACGCAAAACAACCCTTCTGCACTCCTGCACAGTGTGTATATATTTTTCGTACAGCGCCCTTAAGAACCAAGATAATCAATATGTTGCTATGCCGACTGCGAGGCTATAATTAACGCCTTCCGCGCGTTTCCGCACATTTTCTTTCATCATATTATAAATGATTTTGATACTTTGTGACAAGTTCATTTTCAACCACCAGTAGCTATCATTTTCTTTTCGGCAAGAAAGTAAAATTAATAAAGAGAAACGAATAAATTTAGTTATTGCAAAAGTTTGAGTATAAATTGTCACACAAACAAATAAAAAGTAAAAGTCATCTAATCATAATAACGTAGTTCAAACATTAAAGAACACTACGAAGAAAGAAAACAAAACAATGCGAGAATAATAATAGTATTCCTTTATTATGTTGTACATTGCTTTACATTTGTTTGCGTTGTCCTTAGTTTCCTACTTGTGTGGACCTTGAAGTTAAATATACCTCACGTCCTTTGCTTTGCTTTGCGTCGACTCTTGACTCACAATGCAAGAAAAGGCGTCGGTTTTTCAGGCATCATTGTCATTTATGACTTGATTTACGGTCATGTCAAGGATTATCTAAGGAGTGCACTCGAAAATAACTCATGTTGACCGCGTTATTCAATCAGGTTTTTATACGCGAATTAAATTAAATTTATGACGTGCGCAACTTTATTGATTTATTATTATATGCTAAAATCGATGTTGGTTGACTGAGCGTAAAATATACGATGCACATGTTGATGCATCAGCATAATGTAAAGGGGTATGTAATGAGTAATGAAATACTCATAATGCAACGACATTTGGAACCGCATCAAGTTGGAAGGTTTAACAATCACCAATACCACTCCAGTGGGTTATTCAATGCAGGATATTACCATTTGCCTCGAGTTGGTATTATCTAAAATCATTATTAGTTGCTTCTAACTTTAAACTACGTCGAATTGGTGAACATTATTGGCTCGTAAACGTATTTTACAATTTAACTACCATTAAACAAATATTCACTAACTTTGGATTCACTAGGAGAATCTAATTTACAACTAACTACAATAAAATAAGCTTCTCATTTTTCACGATATTGGGATTGCGTATATCTCGTAAAGTAAAAGCAATAAAGATGAACGGATTGAAGATTTTTATCTACCGGAAATTCTCCTTAAGATAATACAAAACAAAAAAACACAATTAACAAAAATGTGCTTCTTTTTGATTCAAACCTACGCGAACAAAGTATTTAATAGTTATATAATTTAATCATGGTCCAAGAAACCAAAAACTAAATTTTAATTTTTAACTGAAAAGGATGCCGGCGAATTCGCCGACAAAAACTAGTACGACTATATTTGTACCGGAATTACAACATAATGAAACCAAATTTATATTTGAAAGCTTTCATGTGGACACCTTGTAGTTATAAATTTCTAAACAGTTAGCACGCGAAAATGGAACCATTCAGTTTCGTTTTCTATTATTTTCAACTTAGTTGCTTCAAACGCAAAACTAAACGCCATTCCCTGCTTGCGCATCCACCACATTTCTAATTAATGAGTTTTGTTCCGTTCGGTCGCGAGCTTTAACAAAATCCCATTTACAAACTTAAATTGCTCCACATATTCCGGCACGTGCAATTTTTATTTAAGGAATCCATTAACTTCCATAAAAGTACGGAAAAAACAAGCGCCGTGAATTTAGGTTCTGTTAGTTTTCCGAGTTTCTTGCGTTCCTTGCGATAAATTATCTACTTTCCAGTAATTTTAGAAATTTCCATCCTGTTCCGTTTTCCTTTCCGATTTTCCTACGCTGTGCAAATTTAGAAACTACCGTTGAACTGATTATGACATTAGGGATAGAAAGTTATTTCAGTTGTGCAAATATTACGTTATTTTTGGTTTGTGCAATAATATTTTTCTTTGCATTGGCGTAAAACCCAAAGAACGGAACTGTAAAAACACACCGAAACGCAATCAAGATAATCTGTTTTGTTCCCGCTTTAAGGTCAAGGATATATATTATCTCAGCGATCGTCCTAACCTCAATATTTTCACATCGTAGTGCAACTAATTGCTCAAAAAGGATCGACCTTTACAACATACGCCGCACGTGGTTGCATTCGCTGATGAAGACATCGAAAAGCGATCGTCGCACGAAATGGCCATTTAAACGAATGACGTTGGCAGCTTTTATTAACACTGGGACGCTGAGTACGAAAGTATTGAAGTGTAGCAAGTTTGACTTAATTAAAGTCCTGCGATATCAGCGAGGCACAGCGGAAATTGCAAACGAACTGAATTTTCATTGTGTTTTTTATACGCACGTGATGTAGAGATTTTTCTCTCTTTTTTATAAAAAATAGTAGGTACTAAATTGTCAATTTAATTGTTTGGGTAAGATATAGTGGGATGTGGAATTTTGTTCCAGAACAAAGCAAAAAAGGAAGAAATAATAAAGATTGAGTGAAATGAAGTAAATAATAAGAAAGTAGAAAAAGTTTCCTGATTCAATACCTACGGTTTTCTGTTGCGAAAAAGTAATATCCGACTTTATCAATCACGTTTAGAAGTTTTATTAAATATTGCACAGAATGAGACAATAAAGAATACTTTTTTGTATTCCACCACAGAATGAAGGACATCTTAAAAATGTTAATGACTTCATTCTATACCAAAACGTTTTGTTAAAACTTGATGGAATGTAATCAATCCTGAATATTTTATTTCATGCAAGATTAACTGCAATTACCTGCCACTGCAAACGTGACAAATGAGGTGGAAGCGGTTCAAGGTTCTATCAAAACCTTTCAGCACGGTCGCACGTTGTAGCATTAGCAGAAGTCGATAAGACTAGGGAAGCTTCTTATAAATAAACCAATTTATACATTCTTTATTTCGCCTTCGCCTATCGTTGTCATCTGTACGTTTCCGTGGGGTGTATGAGGCCTGAGCCCTGAGATCAGGCGTCCTCTCGTCGATTTGCTTTTTCGCGTTTTCCCAAACATGGAAAACCAAGAAACTCGGCGCATCTACAAGCACGCACGCCTCTCGACTTATTTGCTCGATATAAGCCGGTGCCCAGGCACACTTGCTCCAATTCTCGACCCTCGAATCCCACGTTATTAGATTCGCGCAGCAACAAAACCTCTTGCACACACAATACGTTAAACGTGAAAAAAAAAATTAAATACAGAACCAAGGCTTTATTTTACACCTTAAAAAAACTGCACAAAAACGTTTTTTGAATTAATTAAAAACTTGTCACGCGTGAAATTAAAAATTTAATTAAAATATTGACCATTCCATGATTTTGAAACAAACGCATACTTTCTTAATAGTACGCTTGATTAAATTTATAACTTTTTCTTTGTTTAGGCATTGGGAAGTTTTTTTCTCGTTTATTGTTCGGCGTGATATAGAGTCAAGATGAAGGAAACCCAGAACGGGCATATTTCATGTTGAAGTTTCGACTCCATGCGGGCGAATTAAGCTAAATTCCCTCCTTATCACGAGATTTTCTTGTAGACGAATAGGCACAGAGAAAAACTTTGACTGAGGTATTTTTTCCTTAAAAAAGGGGGTGAAAAAGTTTTCGTAATGGAAATAAAATTACACAGAACACATATTTTTTCCAGGTTGCAAAAAAGGTAGATATTAAAAGGAAATTTCTCAAAAAATGCAAAATCAATTTCAAACAAAAAATTAGGTTAAGATACGCGTGTGCCATTTTTATCTGCATAACTATGTGAAAACATGCAAATAAAAATCCTCTGCGTCTTTACAATTCCCTTAATAGAAATAAAAGTAATAAAAACGAACTGGATGAGCTAAATTACTAGCAGGGGGCGCAAAGAAACCGAAAACAAACGCAGTTGGCGCGCGCGCGCGCGTGAGTTTAAGGAATGTTTCGCGCACAGAATGGCGGCGCATTACGTATCGAATGCCTCGCGTTTCACCTCATCCCTGCACGAACTCGCACCGCTTTGTTTTGAGTGCGTCCCATAAACTGTTTCCGCCATCGACATAACGAACACAACGCAGCGTTGGTATTTGGTGTAATTTATTTATGTTTCGCGCTGCCGGAGCCGGTGAGGTAACGGGCAAATTGAAATTGCGCCTGGGGATGAATATCGACTTCCAAGCCCCATCATTCGCTCACTCAGCGTAATGCTCGCCTATCCTGCCAAGTCAAATTGCATTACCTTGCACGAATATTTTTATCCTGAGACTGCTTCGCTTTCACTTATTGCAAATATCAAAAACTCTTCTAATACGCTTTCAGTTGTCTCTTTGGGGCACTATAATAGCATAAAATGATGATGTTTGCGTTGCCATTATGATTTGTCATCTTTATATGACTGTTGTTGTTTTGAATGGCCAAAATTTCGTGGGACAAGTTCAAACACGTGCCGAGACAACCAAATGGCTGCCAACCTAGTTACAGATTGCACGCACGCATGTGAGAGAAGAGAATACTTTTCGCAGATATGCTGTTGAAATGAATAAACATGGTGTGTTGACCTTTCTGAACACAAGCACCTTGATAGCGTAGAGCCCGTTTTATGTTTGCCTTAAATTGCTTTTGCGCCAGTCAGCATTTATTCAAATTAGGTATGCACAACACCAAACAGAGGTTTCATCTGCTAATACCATGGATGCCCTTTGTGGAATGAAATAATTCACTCTAAAATATAAAAAATGAAATGCAAACGTCCTTTACGTGTGTTGGTTAGGTTTTAGTAGCTAGTGAAAGATTTCTATGGGTATAACAATGTGCGTGCATGGTCGACGCGTTCACAAATGCAAACAGGCAAACATCAAGTTTTAATTGAATACACCATGTCTAAACATTGAAGTTTCAGGAATCACGTCCTTGACTTGCCATTGCCGGGCGGGGCCCATGGACGCCGCTACTCATAGGTATTTGAATAGAACTTCACGTCAGCGCGAACAAAGTTTGCTTCCCCCCAGATATTGATCAGCTTGTTGAACGTGTAAATTTAGTCCTGCACCTCTAATGAGTACGAAAAATTTCACGCGGCGTGCAAATAAATTGCTTTTATAATGAAATCCCGAAATAGCCCGTGTTGAAATGTAGGAAAGGTAGTTTGGTTTTATGTCTATTCGTACCTTCATCGTCGGCTCTGAATTCGGCCTCCAGCTGCTCCTTGCTGGGCTCAGCTTCGACTGGATTATCGGCTTGTTTCATGTTCTTTCTAGTCTGGTGCCCACGGAAAGCGGCTTGGATTTTAGCGGCTGCTAATTCTTCGGCTAACGCTTCTTCGACGTCTAGAAAGTCGCCGTTCTGATGTTCGATTGTCACTGTCGTTTCTGGTCCGTTCTCTGATCCAAGCTCAGCCTTGATGCTTGCTGCGCTCGTCTCCGAATTCGGTCTGGTGCTTTTTAGGGTTACAGTTTTCGCAGATGTCGACTTATCAAATTCTGAAATGGAAAATATGTTCCAGGACATTAACTTTTAATATCATCATCATTTTCAGGATATAACTAATGTGTTACCACCACAATTTGAACCAGTTTTGTATATATCACAATGTATCCTTCGCGGATACAATAAAATCAAATTAATATTCATCAGGCTTCAATTGAATGAAAATCCTTTCATTTACAATAAATTGTCACGTTTAACGATGTTTACAGATAATAAATAACCACGAGTATTGTTTCCAGGCATCAATCGGAATGAAAAATTGGCATTTTAACCTTTCGACCTCATTTCCATTTCAAGGTAACGCTTGTGATGTGCGAGTTGCAAAGGTTCGCACCACGACATGAAAGGGATGACGGATTAAGGCGTTGCTTGGTGCTCACACTCCTATAAAGCTTCTTTGTGCGGGTGCGTTTGCATGACTCGCGCGCGCCTCTATCACATTTATATACGGGAACTTCCAGTTTAGAACATAGGGGATGAACTTATAGATAGATGTGCAGATATATTAATCTTGCTTGCCTCGCCTCGCTACGGGTGTGAAAGACGAGAGTGATCTTGTTACAAAATTCGCACCCGGTGGTCGTGGGGTTGGATAGATTAATGAAATTAATATTTTGTGCGTGAAGCCTTTGATAGCATAGTCTGAATGGTTTGTTTACACCCTGCGTGCGGTGGTATTAATTCAAGCCTCGGCTTTTTCAACAAACAAATCCATTTATCCTCTGCAATGGTTTCGGTTTGCGGAAAACCGTGGCGCACTTGTTGGCCTTAGAAAAGCGCATTAATAAATTAATCTACTACTTACATACGACCGGAAGCCGTAGAAAACTGCCACTTTCAGCGCAATCAAATCTGTGAGTAATTTAGTTCACAATATTCCTTATCGCAACCGAACAGGTTATACAAGCTATCTATCTGCGCCTGCTGAAGACCTGAAGGTTGGATTATTATAGCATAAATGGGATCCAGTGGCGCGTTAATGGGGCATATCGCACCCCAAGTATATGCTAGCGATTTCAAGCGCTCATCCGGTAGGTCTAAAGCGAGGTTAGGCGGAATTCAGGGGTGCTAAGGTATTCATAAAGAGAATGCATGATTTTTAGCAGTTTACTTTAATTTTAACGCTCGTACAACGCGCGCACAAAGCAAAACTATGTCCTGGATAATAGAGAACTAAAATATACTATGATAATATTTCATGATTCAGTAAATTTCGGGCGCACAAAGCACTAACGCCAGCGCCTAACGAATGCTTTCCAGCTGAATCGTCAAATTGCACGCAATTATAATTTATAATTTGGTCCATTGCCCAAAACTTATTTTAATCGTCACGCTACATTTATTTATATAATAATAGAGTCTGAATATGTAGTAGAATATATTTTGCTACACTTTTGTCTATATAGGTTATCAATTTAACAGATTACCGCTCATTTAAATGGGACTTTAATCTTTTTACTCCACAGGATATTAAGTTATTAGGTTTAATTTGATTTACCTGTTGCACAGAGCAATTACCGACATTGACAAGTAGTAATTGAATTGATATGAAGTGCAAATACAATTTGCTTCAAGTTGCTTTTATTTGCTTGCTGCGGCTTTAATAGAATTTTATGTCCTATTAAAGTCGTATATAAACCATTCAAGTACTTAGTAAATTATATTACTCCATTAATTAATTGAAAGCAGTCAACCAAAGAAGATAAAATATTCAAATATGATTGCTTCAAATTCACGTTTAAGTGTATTTTTTATTCTTTTATTTCTTGGTGAGTATTTATTATGATATTATACGATTTTATTATAAAAGTAGAGATACTTGTATTACTATTAGCAAATTATGATAATGCACTGTATGCTTTTCATCTGCTTCGGCAATCTGTTCACAAAAAGATGTGTTATCGTGGGGTATTGTTTCAGTCATATACGGCAACTTGGCAACCGTCGAGGATATCACTAAGACATCAGCTGCAGGCAGAATAGTGAATGGAACACATGCCAAGCGTGGCGAGATTCCATACATTGTAAGTTTCCTTGCAACAACCCCTTACTTCGAAACCCTATTCACATTCCGCGTTTGCCGTGCTGTTACCATCTTACATGCCCGACGGCGTCGACTGAAAGGCGGACTCAATCTAGTTTGCAAGAAAGTGCGAAAGTGCACTGGGCATTGATAAGAAATAATATTCTACTGGTTGAATGTTACGTTACATGCTGTTGTAAATATTGATTGGCACAAACATTTGTGCAATCGAAAGCGTAAATTTATGTGACACTTTTTTTCGCTTGCGCAGGTTTCGATTCGGAGATTTAATAGACACAGCTGCGGGGGTTCCATCTTGGATGCGCGTCACGTGCTTACCGCTGCCCATTGCGTCTTCGACAGGTAGGCCAAACATCCGCCCAATTGCCATGATTTATTTTATCTCAGAATTTCGCTGAATTCAAAGAGGTGAAAATGTGCCAAATCACTGATAAAAAACCTCCGCACCTTTTTGGTTATAAAAACTACTTTATGCGACAGTTTTCTGCCAAGAACAGTCCAATAACAGAACCATAATTTATACTGCGCTAAATTCTAGCAAATCTGTTTCAATTTAGAGCCGTCGAAGAGTTGCAAGTCCAATATGGGGTTTTAGACATTGGCGATGGTGACAGCAATGTTATTAATGTTACGAACACTGTGACGCATTCAGAATATTTTCAAGATTATGGCAATATCAACGACATCGCAATTATTACAGTGAGTATAGTGAAAGAGATCAACATAACCTAGTATTTACAATTACACAAAATGGCGTTGTGCTAATTTGTGAATTTCTACGTTTGTTGCTTACAGCTTGAGGAAGATATCGTATTCAGCGACATGGCCCAACCGACAGTTCTTCCGGAAGCATTCGCACCGACACCAGCTGGTGCACATAGCATTTTAGCCGGATGGGGATTAAACGGAGTAAACGAGTTTTTCTTTTGCATTACATTATGTAGCATATTTCAACTTTTTTCCCCATTTTAATGTGTGTTTTCTTTTTGCGTAATATTTTCTACATCCCTTGTTTCGTATCATCATAAATATGATTACTTTCTGTATTTTTGTTTGTTTTTCAGACTGGTGGTGCTAGACAACAACACTTACAACGTGTTGACTTGGTCATCTACTCAGACGATGATTGTGAAGAAGCTCATCCATTCAGGACTTTCAGAGAGTATCATATTTGCTCGGGTGTGCCCGAAGGCGGTAAGGGCCAATGCAACGTAAGTGACACTTTGGCTAATTGAAGCGTGATGATAGCAGCTTGAATTTCCTATAATGGATTCTATTGTTATGTGGGTGGTTTGCAGGGTGATTCGGGTGGACCCTTATATGCAGGAGGCGTGCAAGTTGGGATCGTGTCGTGGTCTGTAAAGCCATGTACAATCCAAGGATATCCGGGCGTTTTCGTCAAGGTTGCAAATTATGTTCCATGGATACACAATCAAATATCTCATATCTCTTAACAACGGTAAAAAGTGAAATTACTATATAAACAGCGTTAATTAAAAAGTATAAAATAAATAATTGCATAACTATGAACAAATAATAAATGGTGTAACAATCCACTTGATTGCAATATTAATAGATACAAGTATGTACACGAGAAGCAGGTACACCAATGACCTGATGAGAGATTATCAGAATCAATCGATCATAACAACTATTAACTGATAATTGCGTTTATATTCTGACATGTGTATAATTTTTTTGTTCTTTGGCATTTTATTTTATTTTCAAGATTGAAAATTTATTTGATGTCTGTTTATATAAATCGAATATCATGTGTGAATCTACAATAATGTTGCAATTTACGAGCTTGTTGTGCGCCATCTTTGCAAAAGGTGGTTATGATAAAGATTCATTTTCATTGTTTCCAAAATCCATTTCGTCTGATTTATAGCGCTGACTTTATTTATCGTTTTCAGCCGCCCTCGGTCGTATTGTTAATGGCACTCTGCTGTGTTTTAGGAAATTCCTTATATCGTAAGTGTTTTGATTTATTTACAGTGAAAACGTATGGTTTATATTAGTTCGGAACTATTAAATTTATAAAACCAAACTCTAACAGTGAGTATTTGAGGTGAAATAATAAATTCACTTTTGTAACTATTCGTAAGTACCTCATCAGTTTGCTAAAACATGATCAAAATGTACCTCACGCTGGTCAGTTGGAATTATAGCGGGTCTCAAATATTTACTATTTGCTTATCCGAGAGCTTTAGACTCAACTGGCCAACATGGACTTAAACCCTACTAAAGCTACAACCAGATGGATAATATTCATGGAACATTTTATTTTTTGTAGACAAATTCTTAGCCTCACGGTTTCTCCCACAGGGAACAATAGAATATTTATTTGGGATGATTTAACAAAATAACATAGTATTTATCTAGCAATCTGACGTATTTCGAATCTTAGTTTAGAATCAGGTTTCGAAGGTTCTGTAAGGGCAAACAAGCTGGAGTTGCGGCTTTCAAATCAGGCACAAAGCTAACCAGTAGTCTCAAAGGTTTCATTTGATCTTGATTGAATCAGACATTAACTGCAAAAGTTAATCAGAGTGAAAAGACTTTTAAAAAGTCAACTAAATAAATAAAAACTCAAAAAGACTCAAACACTCAAATTGAGTGTGTTTACGTGACTAATGATAATAAACTATCTCAATGTACTGATGAAATAATGTCTCATTTAAATAAGCTGACTAAATAGGAAAAAAACCATAATTTGTCTAGTTTTACCAAATAGATTTCCCGATTGATCTACTCTTTAAGATTATCTAACATCAATCTCAATCAACTGGAAAGCCCCAAATATTATTTCCTACAATATTATTACTGCCTACTTATTTTGTGATTTACAGTAGAACAAATTACACAAGCAAATCTCGATCAAACTGTTATCTCCAGTCAATACTTATCAAATCATTATATTTTTAAACTGTTTTAAGGAGGCATATCCGTACACCTTTTTACCTCTGCTTTGTTTGCATGGTTCCTGTATATACCTAATACCCAATCTTTATTAGATAAGGCAATTGTATAAAAGCAAGTCGATTAACTTTCGGAATTCATAGCGGCAAACATGTTCAAGTTCGTCGTATTGTGCGCATTCCTCATTGCGGGAAGCAATGGTAAATATATCCTGATTATTTGAATGTTGTTTTAAATATTGATATTATTATTCTTATTATAAAGCTTTCCCCAGCCGAATTGTCAATGGCACCGATGCCAAAGTGGGTGAAATTCCTTACATTGTAAGCGTGCAAATATTTGGCAGCCATAACTGTGGAGGTTCCATTTTGGATGCTACTCACGTTTTGACCGCCGCTCATTGCATTGACGGATAGTAAGTACCTACTCTATTACAACTTGTATTCTTGCTTTTTATTTGATACTAATATTTTTTTATTAGCGAATCCTACGAAATGTACATTCAATATGGTATCATTGATATCCAGTCTAATGAAAACAAAATCAAGGTCAGCAAGAAGGTGTATCATGAAGGTTATTCTCCTGGTGGTGGATACTTCAATGACGTTGGCATCTTGACAGTGAGTTTATTATTCTTTTGAATTTAATAAACATTCAATGAATAATTGTTGAATCTTCAAACTTTAGCTTGAGGAACCAATCCAGTTCAGCAATGTTGCTCAACCCACAATTTTGCCTGAGCAAGATGAAGAAATCCCTGAAGAATCTCCTTCAGTCTTGGCTGGTTGGGGTTATGAAATGGTCAGTATTTGCATTAAAATTTATTTCTGAAGTACATGATTATAATTTATTTGGGAACAGAGCGGTGGTTCAGTTCAAAGATTTTTGAAACGTGTGGACTTGAAAATCTACAGCAACGATGAATGCGAAGAAAGACACTCTAACCCAAACTAACCGCAAATACCACGTGTGCTCTGGTGTCGATGAGGGTGGCAAGGGACAGTGCAGCGTAAGTACTTTTCCTTCACTCATCAATTCTAATAATTGCAAGTGCCTAGAGAATGTAGACTGGTATTGATTTTGGATGCGAATTGTTATAGGGAGACTCTGGTGGCCCACTTTATTCTGAAGGCAAACAAGTCGGTGTTGTCTCCTGGTCTGTCAAGCCCTGCACCCTCAAGGGTTATCCCGGTGTTTTCGCCAGGGTTTCTTCCTATGTAGACTGGATTAAAAACCAGATGCAGAGCTAAACTATTTCACGTAGTAAATTAGTTAAGTATACTTTATTTTCAGTTATTTATTTGTTTAAATTTCACAGTAAGATGCTGTACTTTCAATAAATAATTATAACTGAACTAAAAAAATTATGATATTTACTCCAGCATATTTATATTTATTGCTCTGATCATTTAATGGCTGTAGAATTACTTTTAATTCTTTCTTTTTCCCAATTTAATAATTTAAATTTTGTCATAAATTATTATCCTGATTCTCCTCTTCTTAAATAATCAAGGTCAAGGTCATGGGTATAAAATATTGCAGATATTATTATATTATAACTATAATATAAGTAATCTCAATTTATTGCTGCAATCGTAAAATCTGAATTGATGAAAATTTTTATGGATAAACATAAAAAATACTTTTTTGAAATTTAATTATTTGCCAATACTGCCAAGTTAACAGAATTACCTACTTGTGAATCTTGCTAATTAGCAAATATTTGATTATGAGCTTAATATATTTGGTGATTTGCTCTAATCAAAGAAACCCCTAGAGTGTAGTGGCGTGGAACTGATTAGCACTCGAGTGTAACAAAGAAATGGTGTGATTATGCTCGGTCCGCGTAACGACCGTTTCGTGATAATCGCTCATTAACTTGATTTTTGTTTTCCGTTTTCCCTACCTAATCAATAACTTCTCTGTGCCACAAAGCAAAGTGTATTACCATGTTCACTACATATTTAAAATTTGTCGCACGCCATTTGTTCTCTATTTTTCATTTTAAATTTCAAAATAACCTACAATGGCTTATTTGATAATAGAAGTTGAAATAAACACTTGTTTTTTATATCCTGGTTAAAAAAAAAACTAAACTAAGAGAAAGGATAAAAAAGATAAACTAGAAAACAAAGTTAGCTTAATAGCTGTTTTTGTATTCTTCCGCATGCGTGGCGTAATATTGTTTTTCTTCCATTCCATTTGCTGGATTGTATCCAACATACATTCCTAATTTTGCCATAAACGCGAATGTTCTGAAAATATCAGTCGAATTTGGAAAAATAAAAATTTATGACTGACCGAAAGTGTTGGGATACGAGTACCTAAGTTCACTAGGTTTTGTTTTCCTCAAAGGAGCAATTTTTATCACGCAAGCGAAATTATTTCGCACAATGCTAACTTCAATACGACGATGTCGTTAAAATAGAAATAACCCAACTATATAATATCCAATATTATTGGTTTAATAGCCAGTTTTACTGATTAGCGTTTATTTCATTTGATATTGCTTCAAATACGTCTAGTTTCCGGTTTGGAGCCTACTTGAAGTAGATACCTACATACATATTTTTTATTACTATTCCTACATTTATACGACTTTGAGCGATGGTTGTAAAATTTTATTTACTATTACAATTTTCAGTATCTATTGAAGAGATAGAAAATATATTTTTTGTTTCTGGGGGTTATGTTTTCTGTATCTACTATGAAGCACGAAATAAAAATGATACATTAAAGGTTTTATAACATGTACATTAAGTATTGGCATAAAATAAACAAACTTATTTGATACTAAACATTGTGCAACACGTGTAGAAACAAATAACATAAATAAAGTTTCTCACATTTGTGTTGTCTTGTTATGACGCATTTATAATAATATTTAATAATTTTATCTTAATTTTATCTAAATTATAATTAGATGATTCCGTTTTCTACTTCTTTTTTATCAAAAGTAAACTTCAAGCAAATTGCTTTATTCTTTAGCTAGTTTTTGTCCTGTTTATCAAGTAGTTAATGTATATATTAAAGTGTAAACTCGGTTGATACAAACTTACGTGTAAGATGGGAAAATCGTTTGTTTATACAACAAGTATTATAATTACATTTAATAATACGCGCTAGTTAAGTCGTGAGTGTCGAAACTTGAAACTCGAGGCCACTCCAACCGCAAAATCAAATTTATTGACTGAAATATTTCAATTAAATCTTGAAGTCCCTCAAGACCTCGTCTCTTTGAACAGCTGTTAATTTCTTATTGACATGAAACTTATTAAACTTTCACGAACATCCGATCCGCCCGTCCTGCGGCGCAGCCCAATCTAGATGACAAAAGAAAATTGTAATAAAACGAGAAAAGAAAATGAAAAATTATTGATTTGCGACGCTGCCTTTGTATACTTATACAATCCATCATTATTTCAATAATGATTTGTATCTACACACTGAAAAGTAAAGTAATATAAAGTGCAGTAGGTATAGTTATGTGCAAGCAAACGTTGATGACGCACTGTTTTCCCGTTTCGATTTATAATAGATACAGAATTGAAAGCTTCAGCGAGCCAGGACGAGCTCTGATGTGTGAAATATTGACGAGTCGATCGCGAGGACGCAGTTGAGCAGTTTCCATTTGGTTGCGTATACATTCTACCAAAATTTCTCTTTCAAATGATAAACGTGGAATGTTCAACTGGCGCAATGTCCGAAACTAACGAACTGGATTTTTTCTGCCAGATAAATCTAAAATTGAACATATATTTCTAAGCGGATATTTTACGATGTCAAACTTTTGCATTGGCAAAATAAATAAGTACGTGCACGTATATAAAACTTGATAAATGTAAAAAATGAATTATAGTCAGTCTTGCGAGCATTATGGGTTTTTACCGAAATTATGCCAAAAGTGTGAACACTTTAAGAGCACGTCCTTGTTGTGATTAAATCTTTTGAATGGGTTTATTGTGCGAGTGCTTTTGTTTGTTCGTTACGGTCGTTAAAAGTTGTGCACTGTGACTTACGAATATTAGCCAAAAGTTTGATACTTCAAAGTTTGTTTTCTGTTCTGAAAAAATCACTATAAATAACTCCAATTAAAACGTACACATTGGAAAAAGTGTAGAGTTGAAGAGATCTTCAGCTAATTACCAAAAACTTATCGTAGGAAGTGATTTTATAGAAGTTTATTCCTGATTTTGACAAAAAGTAATAAAATACTAAATAGTTCCGTTTAAATCACAATTTGCTACAGTTAGAAAGGTAGATAAAAGGTTTTGGACATTTGCCAATAAAACGCACGCATCGAAGGCAATTCGAATCTGATATCAGGATCAATACCCTTAAAAAGTAAAAAAAATACACACATACACTCACATCTACAAGCTAATCGGATTTTATGGAACGCAATAATATTCCACGGTCATAAATCGTTCCGTTTGTCAACTCACCACTCTCCTGAAACGAGGTTTTCTCGCGTATCGTTTCATTGTATCTACATCAACGTCCACAAAGTAATAAAACCTTATAATTAGATTTCCTTTTTGCCGGCGCAGCGCAAGCATGCAAATTACACCAATTAGGAAAGCACTCGAGCGAATATCTATCGCCCGGTAGTCTCTGTGCAAGCTAGACGAAATGCCAGCCTGCTAGGCCAAAGGCTATCAAAAAGCCTTTGCCCTCCCTGCGGATACCGCACCAGGCAAAAAACAGCGCAAAAACTTTGCAGGTTGCATGGGAAATGAGAGGGAAACTGCGGCGTGTTTCATGACTGCGTTGTTTTTCACCGCGCGTGAGATGTATTCATCTTTCTCCGACGCGCCGCGAAATCAAATAAGCGCGCGAATTTTATGCCGTCGTGCACGTTTCGACCATTTCACCGATCTCACGATTTTTACAATAACAACAACACACACGGACGCGCCACGCGATAACAAAACGTGATCTACATTTTACATTTCAGTCGTGGGTTTTGTTTTGTGCGGTCATGACACAATGCAATGTTTCTGCAGTTTTATTAAAAGGAATCGCACGGGATTTGTTTTATTTTTTCGGGAAATCAGGAACAACAGTGAAAGTGAATCCAATTCGATATTTTTATTTAATCTGCATAAACGATTTAACTGAAGTGAACCTGATGGATGCTAAACTCAATTTCATCAAATTCGCTCCCAGCTGGAATTATTAATGGCACAGGCGCACGCGCAAGGTATGGATTTATTTCAAACTAGGTTATAAGTTATAATATGGTACTTTGAAAAGTTTCTCGCTTGATAACCTTCACTCAAAACATCATATTCAACTATTATATAACTGTAAACTTTCTAGGATGCCATGGAACAGCTCAATTGTTAAATTGATACATTCGATCAATAACGAAGAAAATTCGAAATCAAAATATCAGTGAGTAGCTATTTTAATAATTAACAGGTGTTATTCAAGTAATATGCATCGGTAGGCTCACGGAAAATCGATAAAGCTTTTTAAAGGACCAGCACGTGGCATAATTAATCGACTTAATTATTGTAGCCGACTTGCATTAATAATTCAGAGGGCATTGTGAAAGTCCCACAGTGCTCGGTGTTCGGCCGAGCGCGATCATATATACAGTGAGTTGCAATGCAGAATTCGGCGATTCTGTGCGAGAGCAAACCGAATGCAAAATCTAAGATTAATCTCGGTGGAGTTAGGCGCCAGATTTACGGTTAATATTACTCTCTAGCTGTTTAGGCGGCTCGTTTATTGTCCTTTGTCATACCGTGGTACCGTTTGGTTTAGTTTACTGTCGCTGGGGTTAAACAAATCAAAAAGTTAAAAGTTCTTGCGTAATAGCTATAAAATTTTAATTTCCATTAAGAGCCTTGTCAGGAAAAGTGTTCAACTATTCCAGTTTAAACTGCGATGAATACTTATCTGTACAAATCTGCAATTAGATCACTATGAATGTATAATTGGAAAAGTACTTATAAAATTTAATTATCGGAGATATTCTGTTAGATTCAAAAGTAGCAAAGGTATTTCGGAGTTTTAGGCAACTTATATAACACAATTCAACATATGGATGCCCTATACTACGTAATGCTTTCGGCAACAATTAACTCACAAAATATTGACTTACGTGATGCAGCATTGACGTTTGAAGTGCACCATCGTTATGCAGCCATCAGTGGCCATGATTGCGCACAATTGAAATTTGCTTTTCATTCATTTTTTTACCCTGAATTTAAAATTTTGATCACATTATTATCACAAAGTTAGATTATTACAAGAATTTTCTGAACTGTACAAGTTATGCTTGTAGTATCAAAATTCCAGCATACAATGTAACGCTAAACCGCCCTCAGTGGTAAAGTGGTAAGCCACGAATGAG